AATGTTTATAGAGACTAGTGCGAAAGCTGGCTACAACGTCAAGCAGGTAAGAGTGAGTAGTGCTCTCTAAGCCTGTTGAGGATGCTGCCGCATGAGCACCACCTCCAAAAGTCCTCAGAATTCTCAAAATCAGATGGCAAGGTTTGGGGAGTTGAGTAATAAGTTCCTTAAGAGTACGCTATATTAATTTAAATCATCCTAAAATAGGTATTTATTCAATATATTATTGGATATGAGAGTCCTTGTTAATATTCTGTAGAAAATTGAATTACCAAATGTCTACTGGAAGTCTTTTGGTCTCCAGCTCACGTGGCAGCAGCAGCAGCAGGAAGGGGCACGACTTCTTAGTCCATTTCAACATAATCACTATCTGTATTTTTTCCCTTGTCTTCTTGTCAATGTGTGTGGCGATGTGTGCGTGTTCCCTGTGAATGTTATGTATGTTGTGTGCGGTGGGTCATCACAGACAGATAACCACAGAGGAGGGAGAACAGAGAGCGAAAGAGATGAATGTTCTGTTTATTGAAACAAGTGCAAAGACAGGCTACAATGTCAAACAGGTAGAGCGTGTGCACCTTGTGTGTGTTTTTTTTTGTTGATAGCCAAGCTCAAGCTCCCTTCTGATTGGCTTCTATTTCATGCATGCATAAAAGTGTGCTTTCTACATCGACTGTCTCTATGCTGAAGTAAGGTTGGATTTGTTTTCAAGCTCTTTCCCACCTGCTTGAGGTAATAATACATTCCACCTTTTTGATCATACAGACTTCGAGGTGGGTCAGGGTCTGCAAACCAATGCCTCCCACTGGACTTACTGAAGCAATTTGTATTATTTTTTTGTTGCTGTGACATCTGCACATGTATCTAGTCTATTTCTACACACACACACACACACTGTATATAGAAGTGGACTCACCCAGCAGTTTGTGGACTATTGTTTAAGCCTTCAGTTCATATTTGTACAATGTTGTTACTGTTTTTTTAGGAGCCAGAAGTGACAATATTTAAAGATGGATACACATTTTTATACCTATACCCTGGTTAAAATATTAGCCTTGTAGTAACTTAGAAATAATAAGATGGCCACACCCTTAAACATACATAGCTTTAGTGGAAATGTTACCTTTTTGGTGGTGAGAAAGTGATAAATAGGATTGTTTTTACATATTTTTCTTTATTCCTTGAATTTGTAAAGTTGCCCCGTGCTGGTTATTATCATTTACTTTTCAGAACTAATGACTCGGTACACTTCTTTAATACAGTCTGTGGTCTATGTGATGAAATAAAGAGGGGGTAGGCATGTTGAGCATCATCATGCATTGAACACTTTGCCTTTTAAATCCATTTGAATCAATCGATCACTTACAATCCTTCAAGCTCTCACAGTGGAAGGTCAAAATGACACACTCTACCAAGCCACTTCTGCAGTTCATACATGTGGCCTTACAGTAGCTCAAACACATGCTGCTTAATTCTAATCAAATTTGGAAAAAGCTCTGCTGGTCATCTTCCTCTGTGCGAGCTTCAAGTGAGTGCTGTGCTAAATAATGTTATGGGAGTACACAAAGCCCGCTGTCTGGATTTCAGTTTTTGTTTCTGTCATGCCTGGAGTATTTCTTTTTTTGACAGATAACATCTGGTTTTCTTCCCCTCCAGCTTTTCCGCCGTGTGGCAGCAGCCCTCCCTGGCATGGATACCTCACAGGACAAGAGTAGAGAGGACAGTATCCTTTGTGTTCACGTCAGTGTCGGTGTCTGTTTCCGACATGACAGAGGAGAGGCAGGAGGTCTTCTAGCTCTCTTACTTTTCCTGCCATAAAGAAGATGTAGTGCTGCAGTGTGACAGGCAGCTATTGTTGTTCAACCCATGTGTCCCTTTAGATGTATTTCACCACTGAGGGCACTTATTTTTCTTCAACTGACCGTTTTACAGGATATACTGTCACAGAAATAGTCCAGGGGCGCTGGTTTAGCTCAGTTGGTAGAGCAGGCACCCCACATATAGAGGCTTAAGTTCTTGTTGCACTGGCCACTGGTTAGACTCCTGATGCTGCCTGTCATCCCATATTTCCTGGTCTCCTATATATTTCCTATGAAACAAAGTCTAAAAAAAAAGCCCAAAAATAATCTTAAAAAAAAAAAAGAATACTCTGGCCAGTATCTATTTTTTCGGGGTATTTTAATCATTGTCTCTTTGATTAACTGCAATTGTGAAATATTCAGATTGCATCAAAATCATGTTGAAAGCATTCAAAATCACTCATGCATCATAGGCCTCAAGTAGAGGTTTGTCAGAAATACCTGGAATGAATGAAAACAATTCTGTCCATCAAAAAAACAAAACTCAGCTTTCTTTTTAATCAATCTTCTCTTAGTGAAGGCTAGGCAGGGTTTACAATTAAATGAAACCTTTTTAAAGAAGACAAAGACTGCCAGCTAATTTCTATTCAGTAGTTAATTTCATAGATGGGAAATAGTCAAACTAGCCTGCTGTATTCTGCCATCGTCTGAGGTTCGTGGTTTTGTGCTTGAACCAGTATTTTCCAGGAAATGCTCAGATTTGAAAATATGCTAAGAACCACATAGCTTCACAGGTTACATTAAAATGAAAAACATTAAAGATACGTTGTTTATATAATTGGAGGTTGTTTGGCTGTTTCATAAAACTGTAACGTAATATTATTTTTCCCTGAACCCTTGTCATGTCCCACAGTGGAAAACAAAAGTCCCAACATTTTCTAGTCATACATTAGATCAAATATTATCCCTAAAACCTCTCATGTACAATTTTGTGTTGCATTTTTCTGTCCCATGCTGTTCCTTAACTAATGAACCCTTCAGTGATTGACATACAGATTGAGAAGCTACCAGAGCTACCTGTCAGTGAAGGAGGCTGTTCCTGCTAATCCCAGCATATTTCATGCTCAAACAAATATCTCACCGGCTGTTTCTAAAACCCAGTCGTTTTCTTTTCTGTATCTGTCCCTTTTCTGTCCCCCACCCTGAAGAGAACACTATATCCGTTATCTGCCATTGAGGAAACCTGCTCTCTCATCTTGAACACTCTGAGAGTCATTATCAATTAATAAACCGAATATTTGCACTGTAACACGAGTACTGGTACACTGAAACAGTATTCACAAGGGGAGCTCACACTCCTTTACTGAACTTCTGTTGTCTGTCAGTTAAAAAAAAAGATTTGGTGATCGCATGGATGATTTTGTCTCATGACGACTTTTTTGATCAGACTAAAAGAAAATGTATCTGATAAAAGATATGTGTTAAAGAGTGGAATGTCCTTCCAAAAAATGTAAAAACTGCTTTAAGCTATAGCAAAATGTGTCTGTTGAAATGTTTGTTGTCTTGCAATCAATTTGCAGGGATTCATTAATGAAATGTGTTGTCAAACTATTGGTTTAACTGCTCAGAGTAATTTGTGGAAACAGTTTGAGTAAATCTAACATAGTTGTGGGTCTGGCTTTTTTACTGTACACACATGATGTACGGTATGTGAATTTGTGAGCCAGGAGCTCATTTTAAACTCTGTGGTCCCTGAACCAGCAGAGTCCAACTTCTCCAAACACGTACCAGTACAATATAAGTCGACACGCAGGCACACACCAAAGTCTGGTGACAACCAGCACGAACACAACACACACTAACACTACTACATCACCCTCCAAATTACCGTCCTTCCTCTCCTTCCGCACTCCCCTGAGATGGTTTATTTTGACCATGGCTTCCGTTTTCTATTACCTTTTTATTTGGTTAGATGTTTGATTTATTTTCCTAAAGACTAAAGCTGTCAGATTAAAACTATTTCTTTGATGGGTAGTGTTTAAAGAGGATTTTCTCATTTATGGAGTCAACCATAAAACCCAGCATAACAGTAGGAATGGAGATAAATGCCTTTTGGAGTTTAATATTAGAGGGCTTCCTTTGGGATTATCTAGTTACGTTTGGTATGATGTTTCACAAACCCTTTAAAGACTTTGGTTTCTTTTATTTTGATGGCATTGATTTTTTTGTTAGTGATTATTCTTCATGTGTATTTAATCCACAATGACTTGTAATATTTATTTCTATTGGATTTTTTTTCTTTTTTTTTAATGGCTGTTAATATCTATCTTCATTTTCGGTATGAGTCCTGAATCACTTGTAAAATGTGCATCCATCTGGACCACCTTTAACAGAATCAGTAGAGAGTGTCTGCCATGCCCTCTACCACCTCTAAAATGGCAATTTTATCATTCTTATAATACCCAGCAATTTTTTTGTGTGAACTTATGGAAGAGTGTTGGATTTGTATAGCACAGTAGTCATTAATGTTTCTGTCTGGAATGGTTTTAAATGAGAGAATAAAAATACACTTGTCACTGCTGCTGGAATTCTTGTTTATTTTAAAAAAATGAGGGAAATTATACCTATCTAGTACACAACTGTGGCAAGACTCACTCCTTGAAAATTCATAGATTCCCTCACGTTTCAACAAGTTTACCATAATTTGATTAATTTCGCATTTATTAGAAATAATTACTAGTTGTTGTGGCAGTGTCAAATAGGCTATGCCAAGGCTATTAATAGACCCTAAAAATACAATTTTCTGTGTAGCAGCTTTCATACAGGGTAGTGAATTAGCTTTAGATGTTACTGATAAGCATTTAAGACAGTACAAGTAACTATAATTTGAGACATGCAACGCAAGATGGTACAGCCAGTTAGTTTAGGACTAAATAGCCTCATGAACTTTATTTTACTAAAACTTAACAAGATTAAGGGTTTGAAAAGAGACGGATTTTAAAATAATTGTGTGTTCCAATACAAGTTTTCATACATTTTGTCAGTTTAACATTGACTTGTTGACTACATGTTCACCAATGTTCGTCTTAATAGTTACAGTCTATGGTCTCTGCCTTGATTGGTTGAGCACAATGTCCGCGAGAGTATCGGAAGCTACTGTTACCTTGGAAACCAAGCTAAACAACTGCTGCGCTCTTTGTTTATCTTGATAATTTCCTCCCTCCTACTGTTTTAACTTGTATTTTTTTTTTTACCTACTCTAGTTCTTGCACGCTGAGTAAAAGGTTAACATTAAGCATTACATTTCATAATGGGTACTGACTACTACGAGTCGCTGGAAATTAACAGAAATGCAACGGACGCATTTATCAAAAAGGCGTAAGTTTTTGTTGAACTAGCCCAAAACATTGACGTGGAAACCTCATGTCATCCATAGATGTTAGATGTTGCTGCTTGTCCTCACAGTTCTCTACTTGTATCCTTTCTAGTTATCGACGTCTTGCATTGAAGTTTCATCCGGACAACAGAGAGACTGGAAGCGCCGAGAGATTCTGTCAGCTGGGTGAAGCCTACGACGTGCTGAGCGACCGTCAGTAGAAACCTTGTTTATCTATGACTGGTGCAACCTTTGAGCAAGGCTGAACATTTCAAAGTTATCCAGTTTATTTATATATGGATTATCCAGTTTATTTAGGCTATACAAATTTGAACTGTGCATGTGTGTGTTTTCTATGGGAAGTTTAATGTCATAATCTGCCTGAATTTAAAACAATATCTACTTTTGACTGAAATTGACTGTCATCACTGCATATAGACTGGACTAGAGTGTAATACGATCTCTATTTTCTTCGTAACAGCTCGAAAAAAGGCAACCTATGACAAGTTTGGTGAGGAGGGTCTCAAAGGTGGGATCCCACCTGAGTTTGGCAGCAATGGGGCCTGGTCATCTAAATACGCTTACCATGGGAACCCAGATAAAACATTCAAACAGTTCTTCGGAGGCAACAACCCATTTTCAGGTAAAAAATGAAAGGCCACAATTTGTGCATGTGTGAATTTACAATATTACATTGACTTAACGTGTGTTTCTGCTAGACTTCTCTACACACGATGCACCACTTCAGTTTGGTGGACTGCAACAAGTTGTGGTAAAGACACAAGACTCTCATATAGAGAGAGACCTTCATCTTTCCCTGGATGATCTCTTTCATGGATGCACTAAAAAGATTAAGATATCTCGTAGGGTAAGAGCCAGGCCTACTGTAACCATGTTTTTTTAAACGCATAGTGTTGGAGTCATTACACCTTTCAGACTTACCGATCGATAACAACATGGTCCACAAAAGAACTAGCTGAATGTAAAATCTTGATTCATGCCTTCCTCTAATCAGGTCATGAATGAGGACGGATGCACATCCAGTATCAAAGACAAGATCCTGACTATAGATGTGGAGCCCGGATGGAAAGAAGGCACAAGAGTAGTGTTTCAAAAAGAGGGAGATCAGGTAAGAGAACTGATAACATGCGATTGGTAACGGCTGTCCATGTTTGATTCATTTTCTGTTGTCTAGAAATGGTAAAATGCGTTATTTAGGTTAAAAACAGGTTTCCTGTTCTTTGATTCCTTGCCTTTGCACAGTTTCTTGCAAGATTGTGATTTATGGCCTACATTTGGGTTCATGGCATTGCTCAGGCATCGGTTTTAGAAAGGCTTGGGATGATATCAGATAAATCATGGTATCATTTATCTAACACTGAATTGAATTTTGTGTCTCTAACTTTTTTAGTCATTGTGCACTTTACTCCATTTGATTCGCAATTAAACTATTTTATGATGTTTTCTACACGTTATATTGTGGTTATGTTTGATTAATAATGCTTCGAAGTACAGTACATTGAATAAACATGGGCACTAGCTCAAGCGCCCCACTTTCACCAGTAGGTGGCCTCAGCAGATCACTTTACTTGCTCTTACGCATGCTGAGATGAATAAACACCTAATAAAGACAGAGTACCGGGTCCCTCTTTTGCCTGCTTGGTATCATCAATCAAAGTTTCAGACAAAGAGCCTCCATTATCTTATCATATTTTATCTTTTGGGGCCGAACAGTATCTCTGCTGATATTGTGTTCATTGTGAGACAGAAGAGACATCCTCTGTTTGTTAGAAAACAAAAATGACGCTCCACCATCTTATCATATTTTATCTGTAGGGGCCGAACAGTATCCCTGCTGACATTGTACTCATTGTGAGACAGAAGAGTCATCCTCTGTTTGTTAGAAAACAAAATGACCTGATCTTCAAAAGCCAGATCTCTCTAGAAATGGTGAGTCGTTTTAATGTGAGTTGAAATAAAAATTGGTTTATAAACTACAAAAGCTTTTTTCGTGATAATAGCCCCCCCTCACTTTTCCTTCAGGCTTTGACTGGGTTTCTGTGGAAGTGGAGACACTAGATGGCAAGCTACTCACTCTTCCCATCAATGACATTGTTCAGTAAGTGCTTTTCCAATACTAGGAAATTTGGATTACCTAATGTATAACACTGTATTTTCAAATTCCTGTAAATATGAGTTGATAATATTCTTGACTATTATTATTCAATATTAGTCTGGAATACTTAACTCTATGTTAAGTGAGTTAAACATTAAGATCAGTCAAGAGAGAGACACAAATATAAAAATCATTATTTATAGAAAAGTACAAAGAAGCAGAGATATGTATTAAGTCTTTTTTTGTCATGGGCATCATTTCTCTGATTGGCTTTGTTTTTACAAATCAGCCCTGGATACAAAAAGGTGGTGACTGGAGAGGGTATGCCGCTGTCCCAGGATCCTTCTCAGAGAGGAAACCTCATCATCACATTTGATGTCCAGTTTCCAGAAAAGCTCTCCGCTGAGAGGAGGCAACTGATCAAGCAAGCTCTCACTTTTAAATATTGATCACTCTCTAAAACTTTTGTTTGTATCACATGACACATAAGCACCACTGTTGCACCACCAGCCTTTCATCTGACAATAACGGTTACAGCGTGGTTGTACAGTTGTGACTTGCTGCCATCATGGCCCGTTTCAGCTGCTCGTATGTTACGAACATCACCACGTTCCAGGAGCCTAGGCGTAAGAAAGAAGGCACAAACCTGAGGGGGGAAAAAACAAAATGATTGAATAAATCTGTTCAGCTCAGTAAATTTAGTTTACATGCATTTTCTTTCAAACCCCTCCTAAACACTTTATTTATGTACTCATTACTCTGTTCAGTATTGTCCATGCAATCAATGCTTACCCCTTATAAAAAGCAAGTGGTCCCTCCTTTCTCATCATGGCAGAAGCACAGCTGAGGACACTGCTGTACTGGCCGAGAGCAGCATTCATGTATCTCGTTTTGACCACATCAACAGGAGAGGCAATCACTGTTGTGCATAACCCTGCACCAAAGGCTGATAAGAAGTGGCAGGGCAGATTATCTGTAGAGGAAAGAATAGGAAATGATTATGCCATACAGAAAAGATAAAAGGATACAGAATGAGTACATCATGCTAAACTGCAGCCATTGTTCACCTGTGAGGGGAGTCGACTTAATCAGCGTATCCTTAATGAAATCATACGTCACCAGCTCGGTGCAGTTAACAATTGCATTTCTTGCAATGTTTGGAGCTGTTCCTGCAGGTGAAAGGTTTAATTATTAGTGCAAAGAAAGAATTATGAAGCAAAATTAAAGGAAATGCTTGAATGCCAAAGAAACTCTCTGAAGTGAAAGCTACCTTTCCACAGACCACGAACACCTTCCTCCTTTGCTATGGTCTTGTAAGCATTGATAGTGCTACAGTAGCGCCTGGCATGCCCAGGAGACCTGGCCTGAGCCTGGAAGCGAACTTTCACCACATCTGTAGGCTGAGCCAAAGCAACAGCCATCGTGCCAGTGGTACATCCTGCAAGCAGCCGGCTGCCGATACCAACGTCTAAATCAGAAAAGGATGGGGAGGTTAAGCCTGATAGATGCAGAACTCCCTTAATCTATTATATTCAGCAGTACTCACGATCAGAGCCTCTAGTGTAGAACTGTTTTACAGAGTCGTAGAGACCAATGCGGATGGAGGCAAAGCTCATCTGTCTCTGCAGCCCTGCTACCAGTCCACTGTAAAGACTCCTGGGCCCCTCTGTGCGCACCATGGTGGTGATGGTGCCAAACACTCCACGATACTTCACTGCAGACTGCTTCCCTTCAGCAGCCGAAGATCTGGACTCTCCTTGGATCTATGCAGAATAAAAAGTCATGATAGGTTTGAGTAACACCTCATTAGAAGCGTCGCTATTAGCGTAAACTTTTGTTTTTGCTTGGTTTTTTTTCAGATGGGGGACTTCATTTTACTTCTATTTTTGCGATAGAAGTGCTCGTTTACCTGTAGCCGCACTTTGGCTGTGTCAAGTGGAAACGTGAACAGGTCAGCAATGCAAGCTGCAGTTCCTGCTCCTACAAACTTCACAGCTGCTGATGGAGGCACATCTGCAGGTCCAAATCCAACCATTTTTCAATATGATTTAGAAGTGGCTTAGTAATGTGGACAGGGAAAGGAACTCCTCCAAAATCTGCAAGAAGATAGACCCCAAAAACAATCCATCATGCTACCTGGCATTGTCAAGCCTTATTCAACAATATCTAAATAATAATGAGCCATCCCAAAGCAGAGATTTGACCAATTCTATATGAAAGAATAATGCTGCACATTGTGTACACAAAAAAGAAAAAACTGAGCTCACAGTTTAAAAAAAATGCCTTTCCATTTCATAACCACACATTTATTATTTTGCTCAATTTAAACCCATTTTGTCTGAATTTGGGGGATAACCTTACCTTTATTGGAGCAGATTAGGACAAAAACATTAGAGATCAGGATTCTCTAAAGGTGTCCCTCTGGTTGAATTTGGTCCCAGTTATAAATTGTTTTCCTTGTTTTTCCATAGAAGGTTTTTCAGAAGCGATGAACCTTAAAATCATACTACAAATCCTGAAATACAGAAATAAGGTTTAAAAAACAAACAAACAAAAAAACAATAGTAACAGTAGTATAAATATTCCAGGAAAAAATAAACACCCACCTTTTGATTTTGTGGAAGTTCAAATGTCGGGGTAATATGCCTCTTAGGCTGACAATATCCAAACGATTCAGTGTGAATGGAAAGCATGCAGTGGTGTGGGGCAGAGTGGCTCCTCTTAAAGTACAGCCGTTGTTACATCATGGCATGTTTTGCTGCTGGGGCCCCACCCCCACTGCATCTATATAGGATGCCTGCTGGTCCAATGGGAAGACTATAAACCTGACTGTGTGACAAACTGCCTGTCTCTGATTCAAACCGTGGTGGTTGCATTTCTCTGATTAGTGTTACATTTTTGAAAATGAATATCTCTATATCTATCTCTATCCACTTTCTTTTCATCAGTCTATTTAAAATAAGAAATTCATCCCACACAAGTTTCTAAACTGAAATGTTTGATTAGAAAGACGGTGTAGAATAAGAGTTGATTAGTGAAAATAAATTGTTGCAGTGCTGAAGTTAATAAACTCATTTGCTGAATCAAATTTAGTTGCTTGATCCGTGTAGTTCTGTACAGATTCACGGTACAGGGAGCACCCACTTGAGGAGTAAATGCTGAGTCATGCTGAAAACACAAGAACAAACCGTACATTACCCACCAAATTAGATCCGCATGTTTAGACCCTTTAATGTCTCACCACAGCGTGTTGTTGAAATTGTTCCATGACTCCTTCCTGCAATGACTGATAGTACAGTGTGAAAAATCAGATCATTTGAGATGTATGGATGGCAATGTTATAAATGAAGACTTTAGTACATGTTGTTCTGACTTTATGAGGCCTTGAGTCCGAATTCACACACTCATTCCCTACTCCCTTCTCACTATACAGGGAGTTATATGTAGGGGACTATATAGTGCACTCATTCGGTATAATAGAAAAAAAAATGTGGACAGTACTCACTCACTCGTCGGCCGCAGACAGTAACGTCATTACTGTCTCACAACTAAAACGTGCAGCTTAACGTAATAATAAGAGTAATATTAAATAACAACATGAATTTCAGTGATAACTGAAAGTTTAGAAATCATATTTTTACAAAACAGTTAGGAATACTAAATAAATATATAATATTAAATGATCTATACATGATTTAACATATTTTCACTTCACCTTTATTTCTTATGACAGACTCTGATCTCATGCCTGTCATCATCATATGGACAAACTAATGTTTAAAATCCTGTACTCTTTATAAAAACAGCTTGTAGATTTCAGCCTCCTAATGTGACATTTTTGTGTTCATGCTGGTTGTCTCTCTCCTCTGACTTAGAGCAGTCGAGTCAAATGCAACTTTCTGCCCGCAAAAATCTTTGAACTGCAATGCATGATTCAAAGATTGCTTGGATAATGCAGATAATAATAAAGAATTCGGACACGACAAAATGGCGTGTTTACTATATAGTGCACTCTATAGGTTGAGTGGTGAGTGATTTCGGACACAGCGCTTGTGTTCGTAAATGAGAACCTGCCTTCTGCACTTATTCCAGACTCAAACAATCACATTTCATCAGTGGACCAATGTCAGAGCAGGACTTTTCTCTCATTAGACAGTTATCTGCATTGTAAGAGCCAATATGCAAATTATTGATTAATACTAAATATCTAGTTAAAAATGATTAAAATCTAATAACAGTAATTTAATGTAAATTCATAATGTTTAAAATTGTTTTAAAGGCATAATTTAGTCATTTATAAATGATAAAAAGGTTTTTGTTTATGTTTTTGGATGTTTATGTTATGACAGCACTGCGTAGTTAAAGTTGTGACGGATGTGACGTAAGCAGTTTGGAGTCCAATATTGATGGAAGCTACACATTTTTTTGACCGTGCGTTTGACCGTGTGTTAAACCTGTATTTTATTTTGAAGTTTTTTCAGTAAGCCTTTTAAAAACGAAGGAAAGCTGTCCTGTCTTTTCGCTCGCGTTGCAAATACTGTGAGTTGATTCCAAAAAGTGGTACAGAGGACGAAGAAAGAGACGGAGTGCCACTACATGCATTGCTGCGCTTTTAGTGCTGAACCCTATAAATGTTCAGATGAGAAAATTTGTGTCAGCCAACCACTTGCCTTGTGAACTTTAATACAGACAAGCACTGTTCACATTTGAAGAACCTACTATTTTTAGGGCCCAAGCACCAACCACAGAGCGGGGACCCTATTGAAATGCAGGTCTTTCTTTCTTTCTTTCTTTCTTGTACCAGGTCTCTTGAAAAATGTGACATTTTGGTTGTTTCACAGATGACATTTGCAAAATGGCTCAATAGTGCCACTTTGAAATTTTCTAAAAGAGCTTCCCATAGACGTTACTCTAACCTAGATGTATGAAACTAACTTTGCATATCAAGCATGACAAGACCTACAAAAAACCCTCTTGATACCCTCAAATAATGGCTAATTTTGACGTTTGTCATACTTGAATGAACTTGTCCTAGGGGTTTCATCTGATCAACAACTTCTTTGGTCAACGTGACGTAGACACTTTGGGGATTAAAGTTATCAAAAGATTTAGTGGTCTTCAAAGGGTGTGTCCGTGGTGGGCAGTCCATGTGTTTTTTGGCAATGGACAAAAAGATAAATGATTATACCTCTGATATGCAGTGGTCAATTATCAGATCTCACATGTCAACATATCACACACCAGGCCAGCACATTCATAATTGTAATTTTTCTATTAGTGACAGCACCACCTATTGACAAAGGGAAGGTACTGCTCTGAAGAATCCCTAGTGATTCCTACAAGTTTTCACATATTCTCCTCAAAATTGATTTGAACTAAGACCTTCACCATCTGAGCTTGTACAGCTCAAAGGTCTGCTTCAAATGCTGTGGCTATGGTGACATTGTGTGCCAAGAAACAGGAAGTTGTTTTTTTCGGGGGGCTTGACACAAAAAATAATTGACCTGTGACAAAGTTGAATGTTTGATATGGGTTTTGTCAGTGTGTGTAGCTAAATGGCTCCCCATAGAGGTTACTTTGACCTACATATTGGTTGGTAGAGTCGTTGTCTCTCAACCGGTAGGTCGAGGGTTCAATCCCCAGCTCCTGCAGCAACATGTCCATTGTGTCTTTGGGGAAGACACTTAACCCCAAATTGCGTCCGCTGCTTCATGAGCGGCGTAAGAATGCGTATGGATGGGATTAGTTGCTTCAGATGGTCTCACTACATAGCAACCTCTGCCATCAGTATGTGAATGAGTGTGGATGGGTTGGTGTGACATGTGGTGTAAAAAGCACTTTGAGTAGTCTAGTCAGAAGACTATGAAAGTGCTATACAAGCTCAAGTCCATTTGCCATATATGAATTTATATTTGATTATGTATTTTTTTAAATACATTTTTGTCTTTATTTCATTCAGTTCCTTCACAAGCAAACAGTTTCAAACCTTGACTGGACCAGGAAGGTAGGCAGCAGATACAACATTTTCATGCACACCTTTCTGTAGTAGCACCTGCAGTATTATATGTGGAGTATCAGTGCCTGTTAGTTGTGGAGTTGGATTGAGTTTTTATGTTGTCTTCTATTCAATCCTTGTTGTGGAATGCCTTTTGTCCGATCAGATAACTTGCTACCAATGCTTTTATAGTGAAAATCAGCACAACTGTTTTATTAGTCATATGCATAAGGCTGCAGAGTGCTAAAGACAATCACAGCAATACATTAATCAGTTTCCTTTTCTCCTGCAAACTTTGATATCACAGCCGGTTTACGGTGGCTTTGCAGTAATATGTAATCCTGAAGCAACATCTTGATCAATCTAGACATAATGACATTTTTCTTTACCCGACCTGTGACATTAATCGTTTGTGTCAACCTGAGGTGTGTACTACAAAGTTAAAAGTTCAAGTTATGTTATAAGCAACAATGGAATTTCTCTTTTCCAATCAACTACTTGATATGTTCTAACTATTGTATATAGAAGGTCAGTATTTGACAGAAAACAACAGTACACTATTTATACATTTTGGAAATATTTATTACTGTACACAACATAAATTATTTATGATTTATTGACCTGCAATAAATCATGCTATTTACAATAAGCAGCGCATAAATTAACCTATAAAATCTAACAGTAAAGCATTTCACATGATTCACAATAAAGGAAGCAACAGAAGGAACATAGAAATCATCACAGTTTAGGTCTTTGTTGCCAGATCTCAATCTGACTATTGCTTTTCCCCTAACACAACATTATTCAAATAATCTCACAGTTCCTCCTTGTAAACATGAAATCGATCATCAAAGCTACTGACCAAGGTTTTAGTGAGTGTGTTAACTAGAGATTAAAACAAATCTTATGGAATAACCCCTACACATCCGTCTTTTACCCCTGAACCAAGAATACGTATTACAATACTTACTGACTTGAGTGCTTAAATCACTTAAGGTACTACAACAATGCCCTCAGAGTCTATTTTGATTCAGTGTTCATTCAGGACGTCGACAATTTGTGGCTTCCTCCCAAAACCTGCGGTCTCCCAAACTGCGAGTCACTAATGGTCACAACTGCGATAGCTGTTTCTGTGCAGTAGTGTCTGATGTCACGGTCATTGGTCAAAATGGTGACTCCCAGTACATTTGTGCTCTGGTCATCCCTCTTTTAATTTGTTCATAGGTCACAAACATCACAATGTTCCAGGAGCCCAGTCGTAGGAAAGACGGCATGAACCTTTAGGAAACAAACAAAAGAAAAATGAGAGAGTGTCTCAAAAAGGTTGTTTTTTGTTGTTTGGTTCGCTTGTAAAGTAAATGTGAATTTACCCTTTATAGAAGGCAGAAGGTCCTTCTTTTCCCAGCATGGCGAGAGCACAGTTGATAGCACTGCTGTACTGACCAGCCCCTGAATTCATGAACCGCGTTTTAACCACATCCACAGGAGAAGCAATGACTGTTGTGCAGAAGCCAGCACTGAAGGCAGCAGAGAAGTGGCATGGCAGGTTGTCTGTAGAAGAGCTGAGTAATAAGTGTCTGAAAACCTTTATCTGCATATTGTACAACAATGTGTTAGCTTTACCACCTCACCTGTCATTAGGTCATACTTGAGGATGAGTTCCTTGATCATGTCATAGGTCACCAGCTCTGTACAGTTTACAATGGCATTACGGGTGATGTTTGGCATACAACCTAGAAGACAGAGGAGGTTTGTCTTCAAAAAACAGTGAAGGGACATTCCAAGATAAATTCTTATAGATACAGCTTAGTTTTTATACTGCAGTACAAATTGCAAGCACCTTTCCAAAGCCCACGTACTCCCTCATCCCGAGCAATGGTCTTGTAGGCCTCCAAGGTGCTGTTGTATCTCCTTTCACCATCTGCCAGTCGTACCTGAGCTTGGAAACGCACCTTAACAACGTCTGTCGGTTGTGCAAAAGCCACTGCCATTGCTCCTGTGGTGCAGCCTGCCATGAGACGAGTAACAATCCCAGTACCTGTGCAGCATGTGTCCATTAGTGTCAGTGAATTCAAGAGAAACAACCGTGTTTGTGTAATATGATGACACTCAGGTTATGTAACTCACTGTCAGAGCCTCGTGTGTAGAACTGCTTCATGGAGTCGTAAAGGCCTATCCTGACAGAGGCGAAGCTCATCTGTCTCTGGAGTCCGGCCACCAGTCCATTGTAGAGACTCCTGGGCCCCTCTGTACGCACCATGGTGGTAATGGTGCCAAACACTCCTCGATACTTCACAGCATTGGACCCTTCTACTGCGTGACACTCCCCCTGGATCTAAGCAAGAGGTTTAACGTTCAAGAATTGTTAGCAGCAGCTTGAGATAAGTTCTGACTAGACTTAATCTCAAGTTTATACATTTGAAGTTCTGACAAACATTGTGTCTCACCTGTAGTCTGACTTTGGCAGTGTCCAGTGGAAAGGTGATCAGGTCAGCTATGCAGCCAGCAGTTCCTGCTCCGAAGAATTTGACTGCTCCAGAGGGCACCATGTCTTTGGGCTTCACGCCAACCATTTCTATGTCTGGGCTGATTACATAAATGGAAATATCTGCACTTAATGTCATTTACTCAGGGCATCTGTGTAGATCAAGATACTGAAAATACTCATCGATCAAACCAGGCCATCAATGCAAACACACAGTATATAATGCTCTTTTTAATTAGCAATTCTGAGTGTGCAAATGTTTGAGGTACTCATGCTAAACTTTGTGCATACCTGTTAGTAAGGGTAACAAAAATCTTCAAGTTTCCTCCAGAAGTACACTTGTTCCTGGAAGTGGTTTTGTTTTGAAAATGCTTTGGGCCATAAACTCCAAAGTGAGCCAAGCAAGCATACCACCACTCACTGAAACAAAAAGCATTAATTTATTTTTCATTTTTAGAATAATTCATATTTTAGGTGTCATGCATTTCACTAATAAAACGGTCATTTTGATAACTCGGTGATACATTAAACTTGGGTTTAGTTGTACAAAACACAATTGAGCAAAGCATTTAAAACGCTTAACATTTCACATTTTGTTTATCTAATCATCTAACACTTAAATATTAAGTGGCAAAAATTGAGCTTGATACCACAGATGATTTTTTTAAAAAAAGAAAATTGTCCTCATGTGAAAAGTTACCTAAAAGTCTTCCAGGAAAGTTATAATCCAGCACAGTGGGAACACACTGTCCTTTAGGAAAATTAGTCCCTTTCGTTTCCTCCTCTCAAGCGGTTTGCTTTCTGTTCACTGCTGAAGAGGCCTCTGAATTTATAGACACTTTTTGCACATGTGCACACCTGTCATGTGCACCTCGGGTGTTTACTAGAGACTGAGAGACACAGCCAGATATTTGAGCTGTTGTTGATCTGCTCCTTAGAGAGTCATTATGTCAGGGACTCATACTATATGTACTCTATAAACTCGTACAAATATTTTTAGTTTCGTTTGTTGATTTATTTATGTCGTCATTAACTAATTTTATGTTTACTTGTAGGGAGAAGTATACAGTTACAAATCAATTCCACACACCCCAACATTTATACTCTGAGCTCATTTGCAATTTCTGTCTCTTTATTGGCTTTTAAAATGAAGAAAACTCAACAAGAAATATAGAGAGACATCAACCAAAACAACAAAACATTATTAAGAACACAAAAATCAACAACTTGTAGGTTGACCTTGAGTGTCCTGAGAGGCGCCCTTAAATAAAATGTATTATTATTATTATTATTATTATTATTATTATTATTATTATTATTATTATTAATAATATTATTAATATACAAGCCCTAACCCTAACCCATACAATCAAAACCTAAACCGAACAAACACTATTTTAGCATTAAAATTAGGATTACATAACATTTCAACTTTGTGGGGCAGCTTGTGATACTCACTGACATCAAGGAACATTCCTCATGTTTCTATTGGTTGGTATAATCAGCCAATCAGATAGGGTGACCTGTCTGGAGTCCCAACATGTTTTTAGGGAGCATTTAGCTGGCTGACAAGAGGTCTGCGATGGATAACATTTTACACATCTCCTTCACAGTGTTTGTGCTCCAAAACTCACACCTAGTTCAGGAGTTTAAGGAATTCCGTTGTCCTTCCTCCCTGGAGGTCATAAAATGACAACATGTTCCAGGCAAAGGAAACGCCATGCTTCTCAGCCAATAATGAACGAGGGTGGGTGGGTTGCACAAAGCATCTGTTAGCCATTAGCATCTGTCCATTCAAACCAGCAGCACCCAAATAAAGCTCTGCTTTCTGAACAGGTTAGAGTGTTAGAAAGTGGAGACACTTATGTATTGCAGTGTTAGGAGTCCTGTGTGTGCATGCCAACATATCTGACACTTTTCATAGAAGCTTCAGGTCAGGTCCATGGCAAGCTTAAATCAAGTCATGCGGTTGACTGAGCAGAAATGTCCTCTTCATATTTGTACTGTTTCACCTGTCCGAACATGTGTGAGTATGTTGTAATATCCCTGAAACTGTACGGCTAACTTCTCACATTGTATCATGCACATTAGTGTGTGCTGCTGCTTTATTTGTTTTTCTTTATAATGTTAGCAATTGTGCTTTATTATGTTTGAACATCATTTGGCAAACTGTTTCATAATTCAGTAGACACAAATCTAACAGTCCCTGAAGTTTTTTTTTCCCAACAAGGCTTGAGAAATGTCCTTTCCCTGTAAATGCCCTGCACCTCTAACACATTTTCCACTCTTTATTGTATTTTATTAAACTAGTTATTAAAGTGGCCTTAACTAACATTTATACTGATCAAGATCCTCATGTAGGCTGCTGGTTGTGATTATGGTACATCCTGCATGAGGAGATCTTTACGTAATTAGTGTGACTCTATATGTTGTGTTTTATATTTACTCTCAGTTTATCACTTTGGTATTCTTTTTGATTGTTAAGCATTATGGTTAAAATATCAGTAATAGTAACACATATATAGATTTAATAACCAAAGTCCAAAGTGGATTTTCTCTTCATTGTACTTGTTTCATCTTCATCAAATTTGCAAGTAAAATATTGGAAAAGTTTCAAAAATAATGAGCCACCTTTCACCAGCTGCTTTCTTGACCTGGAGCTAAAAACAGGTTCCTGGGAACACAGCGTGAATAACCTTTAGACACACTAGCAGACCAGTAAACAACTTGCTGGTCCGGATTCAACCAGCCTGCAGTGACCTCACAGACAGCCCCCGGAAGATGAATCTGAGCCGTCACCACTCCGCTGTCCGGCTATCGGAATACCATGAAGGTTGAGTCAGTGCTGTGAAGCAGCATATCTCCATTACACAATAAATACAGAACATTACACTAAAAATAAAGTCAGGCCCTGCGTCACTTAAAGGTTAGTGGAGCACCAATGACCCAACATGTCTCTTTCATCACATGACCATTTGTACATGAACATCTGTCCGAACTATTCTAAAAACCTCTTATTAAGTAAGAAATAATGAAGACTAATTCTTTTGGTATTCACTATGACATACAATATTTCATAGCTCACACAAACTGATATATCACACAGAGAACTTGTGTCCCTGCATACCAGAAAGGGAATCAGCTGTTAATTGTTGTACTTATTTTTGGCCATCATTGCTAGTCTCAAAGTTTTTATTTTCAGCTTTCATCAGACAAAGCAGACAAGGGATCGGCTTGCAGTCAATATCTGTGTCTGTGGAGATAAAGCTTTGGTTGGCCAGGAGCATAAATAGTCCTTCCACTTTACTGCTTCTCCTAGAAACAAAGTTAAACACATCAAAACTAATGAATGGAATACCCAAATATGTAGAAAAAACAAGAAAAAAAAGTAAACTTTGGCATGAAGATACAAATAATTAAAAAGACATGCAACCCCAATCAAACATGAAAAAAACACATTTTGTTCTTGGTGCGAGACAAATTCGCAGATAGTCTGACAGTTACCAACCAAGCTTATTTGAGTTTTTGAAATTCTCCTGTTAGTCACTAAATCTTTCCACAATTAGGTTTTTGGTATCTTGATAAATGAATGACACAAGATTCAAGGCTCAAATGGTCCACATAAAATATATGGGCAGGATGGATTTTCTGCAGCAGCTGCCATGGTGATTGCCAGCTGCTCCTATCATTGTGTAAGAGCTGTTTGTTTTAAATTATTAATAATTCCCTGATCAGTGAAGGCATCATTGTTCAGATTGGTAATGTTAAATTGTATTTAACAAACTAAATGACTTCACCATCAACTCTTCCTGTCCTCTATTGTGCCTCAGATTAACAAGTCTGCAACTGTAGACAGTCAGCTGTCACAACATGAATCCTTATGTAACAGAGATGTCTTTCATTGAATAGAAGTGACACAGACTGGACTGAAACTTCTAGTGATAACATCTACACATAACCACTTGTTTTGCTCATTGTACCAATTAATTGTATAACTCCTTTTTTTGTTGTTGTTGATGATACAATGGCCTCAGGAGGTTCTCTCATTTTTTCTCACTTTTTGCCCTTTAATGAGATTGTGAAGACCACACTTCTTTGATGCATCTCAACAGTGTCTGGCATTAGATGATTCTTTCAGCCTGTTCAACACTGACTTACAATCTCTACACACCTCCTGTTTGCAACGCTAGACCCTCTGATACATTTTCAAAGCAGAGAGGACCACCATGGTAAGTCAAATTTCCTGACTTTATTATATAGGTGGAGTGTAAATTCAATGAGTAACGCTTTTAATGCTGCCATCTTGTGTTCAGAAATATAGCAAAGCCCTAGAATAAAGCGCTGCTCTTTAACTGTTTTGATGCAGTTGAAAACTTATTTTAGATCTTCATTTTAGGGTACAAAATTTTACCTTTAGGCTTAAAATTTGTTTCGATAGGACTTTTAATTTTTTTAACTTTCTCACTTCTCAAAATTACTTACTGTTCTTATGTAATTCAGAAACAAATAAAAGTTTAAAATCATTTAACATCATTTCTAAATGACCTGTCCGCATGGGGTCGAAATAGTAATTAAACTGTCATAAGTAAAAAATATATTTTGCTTACATAAAAGTATAGTCTTATTTTTGGTCAGTGATTTAGTTAGCCTCTTTTCTTGGAAATAGTGATGATATTTATTATCGTAGAAAGACTAAAACTAAAAAGTCTGAAAACAAAACAAACATTTTGTGACTGAGCTGTAGACACATTTTCAAGCTAGGAAGTGGTAAACAGTATTATGTTGTTAACCAAAGCAGTATTGTATAGCCTTTGGGTGGCAGTTATGCCTCAAAAGGTCAGAATCAAGCTATAAAGGAAATCAAAGAAGAGGTCGAGCCCTATGTGCAGATTTTCACAGATGGATCCTAAAATCCTAATGATGGGATGAAGTTGTACATTTTATGTCCCAGAACTGAAAGTGAAGATAACCAGGAGAGCAAGAGATCACACATGCAGTTCAAATGCTGGCAGTAGCCTTACATGATAGAGGAAACCCATGTAGATATTAATATGTTCAGACTCAAGGGCAGAATGATTAGTATTCATCTTCAAATCGTAGACAAGATATTCTATATGACATTTGGATTACTTTTGTACAGAAGCATCAGATTAGAAATAGATGTGAAGTTTGTGTACCAGATCATGTAGACGTTCAAGGGAATGAGACAGTAGATCACCTCGCTAAAAATGAGTTTAAAGCAAATCCAAATTCCAATAAGGAAAGCAGAAACATAATAATTTATATGTTATCAAAAAGCAGTGAGAGGTTTTCTGGGACACAGATACTAAGGGAAGACATATAAGATTCAGCAGAAAGTCGGAGAGAGGGAAGATCACAGGAGAAAAACAGAATGGACAGCAGGATAAGACTATGACATACCTACTACATTAAACTCATCTCAAAATCTCATCTGGAATAATCCAAGTCCAACATCTAAGGGAAACGTGCAACTTCTGCAATCAAATGGAAACTGGGGAGATGTCTGCTCCAGTTACACAAATGAAAAATATAAAGGACTTACAAATAGTTCTTGGGTAATTCAAATATATCTTCACCTTTCTACATAGCCTAATTTTGGTCTGACAACAAGAGTAGGTTATAAACAATAAAGGAACAGTAAAGGTTTATGGAACAATCTCAACAGAGAAACTAAAGAATCAAAATCAAACATGATATTTAAAAGAAAAATTAAAGCCAGTTTGTTGAATAAATATGAGGAAATGTGTCAACGAGATACTGGTTTCTTTTTTTTTTTCGTGATGCTGTAATAAAAATGTATTGTGACATACTTTGTGCATAATGAATTGGTAAGGAGGACTTACAAGGGGGGCTGCCAGTGGCTGTGTTTGCCTGCAGCCAATTTAATTTAATTTAAATTGTTTTTGAATTAAGTGTTCTGTTTTGTTTTAATTAATGTTTTGTAAAAGAGGGGCAGATATTTATAAGATTCATCTTCTTTCTGCTCCTTTTCATTCAAAATTTCAATTTTTATGTTTGTTTGTTTTTCTTAACTTTATTGTTTTTGTTTTTTGAATAAAATAAAATTGACAAATAAAATAAAAAAATAAAAAAATAAATACAACAGTAGGTGGCGATAGTGCTCCGCCTGGTAGCGGTCACCACTTAAAGAAGACGAAGAAGAAGAAGAAGAGTCGCCTTTAGCTTGACAGACGGACGTAGTCGGCTAGCGCTAATTAATTTACCAATGCCTGGCTGGCGTCGCTTCAGGTGTCAAAGAAAATCTTATGTGGCGAAGTAGAGGGAAGGTGTCAATAAACCGATCCTGACAGACACTGGTCCAAGCTTTCGTCAAGATGGAGAAGCAGCTTCATTTAAACCTGTTAGCTTCCAGACCTCCTATGGCTGGAGGCTTGCAGTCCAGCTCCAAAATGAAAATGGGGTGAGAAAGAAAAACACATTTTTAAAAGCTAGATATTAACTCTGCTGGCTGACTAAAATGTCATTTCACAAAATGTACAGCGGCAACATTTTCTGTGTAATCCATTTGACTTGTTTTGTTGTTATAGCAGCTTATTGGAGACTGAACAGCTGGACCGACCGCGTCAGCTTGTTATGCTAGCTGTTCCCACCAGTGTTTAGAATAACATTTGGCCATAACATTAAACACTTTGCATAACACTGAAGTCACCAAGTAGTGCTGGAACATGACCTCATTTATTCGCAGTGTTCATTGTTACTATATTGATGCCAAAACCATTCATAATGTCTTGATATCCTTCCTAGTACGATGAAGTCTCCAGAAATAGTATTTTCTCTTGTAGGTGACAAATAAATGATGCGAATTTGACTAGTGTTGCATATTTGAGGTTTTGTTCAATTTAATCCAAGTAATCTGAATCGTGGACAAAGTCTTTTTAGTCTCACGATGTCTGCACATAGAGATTTTAAACGTGTCAGGTTGTTTATGAATGCCAAACATTAATGTTTTGTGAGGGACAGCTGCAGAAGTGGTGAGGCATTTTTGGTCTTTTTGAATAACACTTCATTGAATTTCACTCTTGATTTCTTGCAACATATTTTAACCTTTTCTTATTCAAGTCGATTTTCGTTTCACTCTTATACATACGTTTCGTTTTTCTTCTCAGTGTTGCAGTTTTGACCATGTGAAATGTTAAGAAAGCAAGGTTTTCCTCTTCAGATGTAAAAACACTGAATCGTCTGTCTTGCTTATGTGTTTCTATAATCCTGTTGTGATTTTGAGATTGGTTTAATTTGCGCATGTCTTTTTTGTGTCGTTTACAGACCTGGACGTAAAAGAGATTTCTCCCCCCTACCCTGGAGTCACTACTTTGAAACCATGGAGGACGTTGAGGTGGAAAATGAAAATGGCAAAGATATATCCTTTTACAGTAGCTTCTGTATGTCAAGAGAAATGTCTAGCCTGAGTTGTTCAAACTTTGGTGTGTTTGCATCAAGTTTATTTTAGATTAAACTATTTGTTTGTACCAGTGTGCTGTTTAACTCAATGTATAGAACCATTGGAGAGTCCGTTTAAAACAGTCTTGTTTGTTCTGATTTGTGCAGCAGCCTCACGTTTCACTCATACAGCTTTAGCGAGTGTTTCTTTGACTGCACTGAACCTTTTCAGAATTTACTGCAGTGGCGCTCATGGTCCTGTGCTGCTCCTGCTCCATGGAGGAGGCCACTCTGCACTCTCCTGGGCAGTGTTCACTGTATGTATCATAACTATAACAGACTCTCTATCTGACCTCCTAAGTCTGATGAATTGTATGTTTACAATGTGCCAAACAGTGTGGGGGAAATCACAACGCTGCGATGGATATTGGGGTATTTGCTGCACTAGGTTGGATTGAAATTGTTTCTTAATGTGTCTTTACAGGCCGTCATTTGCAGCAGGATCAACTGCAGGGTGGTGGCTATGGACCTTCGTGCTCATGGTAAGTACAGCTAGTTCTACAACAGAACACTTTTTAATAAGACAGTGTATTTATATTGACATCTAGATGGAAATGTATCAATTTGTTTAGGTAGTATTTTCAGTTCCTTTACAATAATCCTTTAAAAAATTATATTTAGCTGTTTATTTAAAATCTTCCAATCTCTGCATCCTAGTTGCATTCTTAAATATTGCAATGCATCCTCGACATTCATCTCATTTGCTGAGAAGAGTCTGCATAAATATTGCAGTGTGAGCTAAGTGAGAATGCTGCACCAAAGTAGCTCTTCTAACTTTGGGATTAGAACTAGACTCTGCCACATTATGTGATCAGGGGAAAACTCAAACTGCAGGCCATTCTTTGGCAGGTACATGAGCTTTAATGGAACAAATGTTGAAACTTTCTACTCTCTCATCACCTGCAGGCGACAGCAAAGTGAAAAATCCTGACGATCTCTCTGCAGACACGATGGCCAAGTAAGTGACTGTATGCAGTGCAGCACATGTACAGTAGATGCTTGATCATCTGAGAACCAAATGTGCTTTTTTTTTCCTTAACATCTTTTGGGGGAAAGTGAACCCCTGTATTCACCAAAATGTCAACATGTACCGCATATGAATGAAAGTATTGCAATGTTAACAAGGGCGTCTTTGCCTCTTTTTTTAATAAAGGGATATCGGCAAAGTGGTGGAGATGCTCTATGGCGAGAACCCGCCTCCAATCATGATTATTGGACACAGCATGGGTGGAGCCATTGCAGTTCACACAGCTGTTGCTAATCATATACCGTCCCTGCTGGGCCTCTGTGTCATTGACGTTGTAGAAGGTTGGTACATAAGTTGTCATGAATACAAGCAACATGGATATGTGTTTTCTGTTTTTGTTGTATAGTGCTTATTTGCATTAATCTCATAAATATGCATGATAAAACTATATTAGTGATGAGCCAAGTGTAGTGCCTCTGGGTTCATAACTAACAAATCATTTTGGTAACTCAGGTACAGCGATGGATGCTTTGAACAGTATGCAGAATTTCCTCAGAAGTCGGCCAAAGACTTTCAAATCTCTGGAGAACGCCATCGAGTGGAGGTAAACACAATCTACTTGGTGATACTGTTATATCTCGGAAGTAAGAGATACGGACTAAATGAAGACAATCAAAATTGTAACATTTTTGAATTTGTCTAACTGATTAACTGACTGTTATAATTCAGCGCCTTAACTTTTCTTTTTCATTACTTTCAGTGTGAAGAGCGGACAGATCCGAAACACAGAATCAGCACGGGTGTCCATGGGAGGCCAGGTGAAAAAGTATGTGAGCTCTGTTTCTCACCTGCACGTCATGTCCTGCATGGTTTTTGTTGGTTATGTGTTTTGCATCGTGTGCTGACTTACTGTAATCTGACATTGACAGATGCGAGGAATCCACCAGCCGTCCAGGTGTGTCTAATAGCATAGGTGAAGGTATTATAGAGGAGGAAGAGGAAGAAGAAGTAGAAGAAGAATCAAACAAGAAAAGGATGAAAGAGGATGACCAAGAGGTTATATCTTTTTTTTTTTTTGTTTTTCTGATGTAACACTTACCGTACAGTATGTATGCATACTTGTGTCTTTGTGTTTGTGAGAGGTTAACAAGTAAGTTTGATTTTCTTTCTTTCAGGTAAAAAAGGAAAGCATTTTCACCTGGAGAGTGGAGCTTTCAAAGACGGAAAAATACTGGGAAGGCTGGTTCAGAGGCCTGTCTGCGCTCTTTCTCACCTGCCCTGCACCAAAACTGCTTCTGCTTGCAGGTGAGATCTCCCACAGTGAATGTACATTATTATTTAGCACCCTATACACGTGAAAAGCATCTGGATGGGCTGTATAAAGGAATTTCAAATAATCTACCAGCTTGATAGAATAAATATGAATTACTCCGGTTTTATTTCAATCTATTTTACTAACTTCACAATTTCACACCGAAACTCATCCATTGTACAGGAGTGGACAGGCTTGACAAAGACCTTACTATTGGACAAATGCAAGGTAAGGAGCACAAATGACAGTTTTAAACATGGTTGAAAAATGTACACTGCCTTTGGTTCTGGACAGCTACTCTTGATTTAAATAAACAAACTCTGGATATTGTTTACTCCACTGTTTGTTCACAGGGAAGTTTCAAATGCAAGTCCTCCCTCAGTGTGGTCACGCTGTCCATGAAGACGCACCTGAAAAAGTAAGGGTTGAGATAAGATTCTGAGCTGATTGTACTCACCTATGACATTTTACAAATGACCGTGTAACGCTTCATGATATTTCAACCCTTATGCAAGAAAATCTTTAACTCACCAATAAAATAATAACATAGGAGATATTGTCTGTAACGCCATATTATGATGTAGTTTTCACGGCTGGTTTTGTGATTTTGTATAGCTTGATCAGATTGGTTAAGATCCAGTTTATTGCTTTTCTTCTAAGTTGTTTATCGTCATCTGTTGCCAGGTAGCAGATGCTCTAGCAACATTTATGGTTCGGCACAAATTTACTGAGTTTAAAGAAGGATACCTGTGGTAAGTAGACGTCCTCAATAGAATTTGTACATAACACAAGATTGTTTAAGATTTTCAAGTAATCAGTTAATTATTATGTGCAGTAGTGTTGATAGTTACTGGGGGGGGGGGGGTGTACAAACACATAAAATTGTCCAAGCATTGTTTAACATAGGTGTAATATGGGTCCCTATTTGGTTCTCTAATAAAGAAATGAAGGAACTCTGATTAACATATTTTTGTTTTAAAGCTAGGGCAATCATTTCAAAATCAGAGCGGGAGCTGCACCACTTCCTGTTTTCATGTTATAATTGTGCAATAATCTTTCCACAGCTAATGTCCAATTCTAAGAATATATGTAACCAGCAGCCATAGAAGAGATGAAGAAATGTTTCAAGAGTCATCCTCATCCTCATCCACTTCAGCATCAAGTTTAGAGAAAAATATTATTATTATTATTACTATTATTATAATTATTAAGTTGCTTTTGTGTTGTAGATACTATGCCTTACAGCTTTGCCTTATTTTTTTATTTTGAATTAATGGTTTTTGATTGTAAAATTGCTTTACAATACATTTCTTAAGTTTCTAAAAATATTTTGCTCCCCTTGTTTGATTTTCTTTACTTTTGATTGATAGCATCATAGATAATGTGTTTGTAATGTTTGAATTCAAACAAAAATTAAAGATGGATGCTGTAAAAATGCCCTCCGTGCTTGTACATTTATGTGTATTAAAAATACATCATGACCATTTTAAATGTGGACCTTCATTAAAGATTCAATTATGCACACAGAAAAATGGAAATTGCATGACATGTTTGGGGGTTAAAATCAATTTCACTACTAATCTACTAAAATCACTAAACTGTGCACATGACTGGGCATTGGTTCTTTTTATTCTGCATCATTTAAAAAAAAGACACGGCCAAACAATTGAGGAAGAAATCCTTTTTTTTTTTTTCTTTTGAAACTATACAGATGTTGAAGTTACACTTATTTTAATTATATGCCACATAAACAGTGATTGGACAACTCTACTCGTATTACCTGGATTTGACTGTTTTGCTTTAATGAATGTATAAATAAATCATATAATCAACTCAATCACATTCGATTATAATTGTATTACTTATGTTGCCATATTGTGCTTTTGAGTTCTCTCTTCAAAGCATCAAAGCACCTTTTTCCTCCATTTAGCAGAAGGAAATAAGTATGATACAGCAGAAACAAATGAAAAAAATAAAGAAGTTTTCTAAACATTTAAAGATATGCAACATGTTCCCCTGATTTACACCAGGGAACAAAACTGAGGATTTAATTGTCCCTCTGTGGACCAACTCACTGGGTAATGTATTACATCACAGTGCAACATAAACATGTGAATAATTAATGTGTTGATACTGACGTTCTCCAAAGACATAGTCTCTGAGATCATTAAGAGACAAGAGTCTAAGCAGGTCAGACATGTTAGCATCCCTGAATAAAAGTTTTTTTGATAGAATTATTGAAAGCTGTTTGAATAATCTTATACTTCATAAACATGCATGAAATGTAAAGAATGACAAAATAAAAATAAGTTTGTATAAAAAAAAAAAAAAAATCTGCCACATGAAAAACTGATTTAAATACATTTGAAGAGATGTGATCATTAGAGTGCACAAGGTGTCTTAATGAATATGAGACAGGACTATGAATGTGTGGCTTTGTTTTGGTCTTATGATGGCATTGTCTGTGGCATTTTAAATCAAGAGTTAAATACTGTTTCTTGGCAAAATATTTATGAAAACATTCATGATGAAAAGAGGAGTAACATTTGAAAAACCTCATATTCATCTTTCGCCATTAACAGATCAACCTTTTCAATTGTCAAACACTAGTTTCTGCTGGCACACCTCCAAGCATAATGAGCAACATAACAAATGTTTCATATTGGTAATAGTGCAGATGACTGTAGTATTTAATAAGAATGTTTAAAATAACCTATTTGCAAACAAACACAGTTTGAAAGCACATTTGAACTATTGGTTTTAAAATGAAAAATGTCTACTTTGAAAATGAAAAAGGGACATCAATGGTTGCTCAAATAGACTATTCCTGGGAACTTGACCCATACTTAATGTCCAGCTGAAGTTGCCAGGCTACAGACTGATGATTGTAATCCCAAACAGCCTTCAAACAGCTGAGCCTGACAAGCTGGTACTAAAATGATCACTGTACACAGTATAATCCAATATGGCTGAATTATGGTTGATTAGCAGTTGTCTGTTTTTTCGCACCAAGAGGTCAACCGAACAAAAATTTTCTCACCTTCCGTGTAAAATCAATATACTTTGCAAATGACATTCCTGACATAACCTGTACCATGCATTTTGAGGTGTAGAGTCATAGAGGGATTTGCTTCATGGCTTGATAAGCAATATAAGAAATTTCTGCCTTTGCAATTGTTTTTGTCAAGTTCTAGTTGATGTTGAGAGCCCTTTTTTTTATGTTGATGTCAAAACCAACATCTGGTTGAGGTCAAAACCCAACATTGAGATAACTGCAGATCCCAACGTTTTGATCATGTCAAAACCCTAACTTTGGTTGGAAGCTTTAAATCAACACTGGGTTGAAGACTAAATCCTGTGCTGTGTTGACATCAACACTGATGAAATCCACCTCCAGCATTGGACTGATGAGGTATTTGGTTGAGATGAAAATGGGGATTGACTTGATATCAACTTGCAAAACTGGACTTTGACATGTCATCAAACTCTGATTTAAAAGGGAAAACGATTTAGGAAGAATATTAAAAATGGTTGAAGATCACCCACCAAAGTTAGATTGACATCAACAACCAACATTGTGCAGTCATTTTATAGTGATGAAGGAAAATCCATTTGACATCAAAACCTATTGTGAGTTGATAGCAGAATCCAAAATCAAGTTATACTCAAAACTTAACGTTAACGTTAATGTCAAAATCCAACATGATGCTGACATCAAAAGCCATCATCCACTTGATACCAAAATCTGACATCAAGTTGACATCAAAAACCCCCAACATCAAGTTGATGACCATCCTGACCTCCAGTTGATGTCAAAGAGCCAACATCCAGTTGACATTAAAGCTTACCTCCAGTTGACACCAAAACCAGATGTCCAGGCAACATTGGAAGCCAGCCTCTAGTTGACATCAAACGTCAAAGTGTCAAAGTTGATATCAAAATGTGGCGTCCAGTTAATGCCCCAACCAGATATCTAAACCATCATTTGGTTGATGTCAAAACCCACCATTGGATGATGATGTTGAAATCCAACTTCCAGGTTAGATCAACTGCCAAAATCTTGTCGATGTCAAAATCTGACATCAAGTTGACATCAAAAACTCAACATCAAGTTGATGACCATCCTGACCTCCAGTTGATGTCAAAGAGCCAACATCCAGTTAATGCAAGATGCCCAGTTGCTATCAAAAGAAGATGTCAACTTAAATCAAGAGTAGATGTCCAAATGATGTCGAAATTTGACAATTAATTCATGTCAAAAACATCAGGAATTTATCTTTGTTGGGAATTTAAATGAGTTTGAAATAAAAACCCAATGTGGCTTGATTTTGTCTCTGGTTTACATGCTCACATTTGTATCCACTGTTGTTTAAACAGGCTGTTGAAAGTATTCCCAGGTAGCAGTTACTGACTTCAGCCCAGTTTTGTTCCCTTCACCTTGTTCATCAGTAACTGTTTCAATTCAATTCTTTCACACTTCAGTAGCTCAGCAGGTTTACACTGATCAGAAATTGCCTTTGTGAAACACTGAGGTGGGAAAACAGTGCAGCAGCATGCCCTGAAATCCAGCATGATAGAACCCTTAAGGTAAAAATTCAGCTTGTGATTTCAGCCATTTTTACTGTTATGTAAAAATATGGTCCTTGGGTTTCTTTATTTTTTCCTACCATTTTTGTTTTGTCTGTAATTCTAACACAGAAGAGATGCAACTCTCGACAGGTCAGAGTTTTTGTATTGCTGTTGTATTAAGGAGGGTTGGAGATTTTCATTGAATCTAACCAATATGTCAGAGAGCTAATTATGTTGTCGGGCTGATTGGCAGAAGAAAAGCTCACGTCAGCAAATTAAATTGAATACTATGAAATAAGAAGAAAGCAGAAACACTATATATTTGATTAACTGCCATTATTTTTTTAGGAACTAATTCATATTCTCTTAAAAAGAAGTTGTAAACTGCTCAACTGCTCACAACAATCAATGAAGAGTTTTGACTGGTTATGATGGGAGTGATGTCATGTCACAGGTTGCTTATGAAAGGGAACTAATGAGCTGCGGGTTAGATCACTGCTCAGATGTTTAAAACAAGTTCAAAAGAAGAACTCACCACTAAATGGTAAGTTATGTGTCTCAGACATACAACACAGTACATCTCTTTATAACACTTTTAACTACATTGATTTTGTGAAGTTCTGAGGTATTTTTATTGTGATGCTCTTTAATCATTGTGTGTTACTTTTCAGGGGGTTTGGAAATGTGTGTTCTTTTTGATTTCAGCATGTATTTTAAATGGTGTTAGACTTCATGTAGATTATTTTATCTCCTACTCTTTGAATTGTACGTATGGTACATTTTTTACTGGTCTTAATGACATGCCTTATTATTACCTGTGATGTCTGAATGGTAGAATTGATTTGCTGTTAAAATGTGAAAACAACCTGACTTGCAGTTTGTAGGAAAAAAAATACATCGAACTTTTCATGATGTTGGTAAGGGTATGTCTGTTTTTGTGACTTTTACAGACACTGTGTCAAGCTGTGACCATGAATGACTCATCAGAGGGGACTCAAGTGATGTCGTTTCACACAACTGCCAAAGCTCTGCTCTCCACACTGCCATGTCTGCTCTTTCTCTATGTGAACCTTGTCATGCTTTATGCCCTACTGAAGACTCCTCTCCTCCTGGAGTCTTCCCGTTATGTCCTGTTTTGTCATTTGCTCTTCACTGAATCCCTGCAGCTTTTTCTCTCCATGTTGCTGTACATCTTTGCTGTGACTATGGTCACAATGATCAATTATGTTTGTATGATAATCGTTATGCTTGCATCCATCACTTTAAAGATGTCACCTCTGAACCTGGCTGTGATGTCTTTGGAGAGGTACATTGCCATTTGTTTTCCTCTGAGGCATGCTGATATTGCCACCACCAGGAGGACGGGCATTGCAATCGCTGTGATGTGGACTGTCGGGTCATTTGACTCATTCACCCAGCTTTTCCTCTTTGTCAGTCTGGAGAACACAAGCATCCCCATGCAAAGGTTCTGCTACAGAAACAATGTCTTCAGACTGCAGATTTACTCCACTTTAAACAAGGCCTTTACCATTGTGTATTTTGTATTAGTGAGCACTATTATCATCTATACATACATAGCTATCATGATTACTGTGAAGTCTGCCTCCTCTAATGTTCGTAATGTCAGTAAGGCCCATAAAACTGTTTTGTTGCATCTGATTCAGCTGTGCCTGTGTCTCACCTCATCTCTATTTAGTACCATCAGTTCCAGCGACCAGTCGAACATTGATCCTGCAATGGTTGTTCATGTTCAGTACGCACTTTTTGTGGGTCTGATCATTTTCCCCAAGTGTCTGAGCCCTCTCATATACGGCCTCAGAGATAACACCTTCAGATATGTCTTTAAAAACTACTTCACCTTTGGCTGCAGCACTACTATAAAGCCATTTCCAAAGGGTTGATTTTAATACAGTTATTTTTCTCTTACAAAGTTATGTTGAATGTCAACTTGTATTTGCATCAGGTAAAGGCATTTGTTTTGTCAAGGTTTTGTAATGAGGTCTAATTGTGATCAGACTCATTCAGAATTGAGATTAGTATTTGAAGTCTCCAATAAATGATTACTAATATAAACTGATTTGCTAATATGTTAAACCAGCATAAAGAGCAGATCTTTTTTCACAGAGCTGTAAAGGATAAAAATGACATATTTCATACAGGTTATTCTCACCCTCAATCCAGTTTTTAAATTATGTTTAAGAAAAGTATCAGTAAGTTAAATACAGGCTTCACTGCAATCGAATGATGGGATAAAAAGCAATGCATACTGTTACTTGAAACAGAGACATCAAACCTTAACATTAAGTTAAATATCTATGTGCAGTAAGACTGTGTTGCTTCATAGTACCAGGGATATCACTGCGGACAATTAAACAAAAACAAAAAAATATGTGTGTCATCACTTCTGTCATGTAGGGGAAAATAACACCAACAATAATAGTTCATTGGGTGAAATTTTAAAAAGAAAATCATTCCCTGTTTTTTCTTTAATAAATGGGAAACATGTTTTTGTTTCACAGTTTTTACACGCACTCTTCTGTTTGCTGCTGCCAGTTGTTTATTTAATGCACACCAAAGTCCATGTATTGTGATACTTTGGAATATGAAGAAAAATCAACTTTTCATATGCTGTTAACATTTTTTCAATATTTGATTTGTTCTTAACAAAAATTGTCGTCAAAATGTTAGAGCTGTTTAAGTTAGCATTTTCAGGATGAAAATAATACATTTGAATACTCAATGAACACAGCCATATATATATATATATATGCTATCTAATCTGCTGGGAAAAAAAGCATTCATCTCAGGAAATTCTACCAGGAATAATTTGTGTTTTTGTCAGTTGTCAACAAACAGGACACACTAAATTACAATTATAATATCTGCTCTTTTTGTAGAATAAAAACAAAAGCTTTTCTTTTTGGAACTAGTCGTTATCCCTCCCTATCAGCTCTGGCCTAGTTTGATATCCTATATATGCATCATGTTTCTTAATGATTGTTTTTAAAAGTTATAAAGTTAGGGCCAATTACAAGGTGACACTGTCAAGAGAGCATTAAGGTGTGTCTTCTCATCACAATGTAGTTTGAAAATGCAAGTATAGTTCATACTTTCAGCCAGCAGATGTCACCTTTGGTTTGTAAATCAACAAGACAAACTTTGACTGTTGGATTCACATGAGTAATGTGCATACCTAAAAAGGCTTGCATGTAGTTTTAGAGGAAAAGAAATGTTCAGTAACATGTGATATCATGGATGAAATTACTCCCCCCTTCTTTCCCACAGTCCAGATGGACACTTGTATAGAAAAATGTGCTGAAGACAGAAAGGAGCGAGAGACCAATTTATGTGTGTAAACAGGGAGGGAAGCTGAATAAAAGAAGGATCTGAGCGGGAGGTGGACTAATTTAACCGATCTTTACTCTGCTACCATCCTGAAGCCCTCTAAATACCTCTCGGGCCTCTGTGAATGAGCACTTGAAGGGTTGAAGAACATTCCAGAGAAAGAAAGTACCTGGTGATAGAGAGTAGCTTTAGTTAAGAGCAGATTCTTCACGTCCTCGACCAAGAAATTGGATTCTTATATTAAGAAAACTTTTATTTATGCCAAAGGATTATGTGCCTTTGGTTTAATAAGAGCAAGGTTCATTACCACAGACACTGTTTGGTTTTTGGTATCACAGTTTATTTCTGAGGGAAAAAAACATTAACAAAAGAAAGAAACAGAAAGACAGAATAATTATCTCTGCCTCTGTAATAACAAAGACATTTTCAGACATTTTTTAGAGCAATATCAATTGTGTTCTTTGGGCTACATGCAAAAACTCAACCGTATTAAAAACATTGTTCTTCAAAAATTGCAAGACTCTTTTACCAGTCTGTATAAATATTGCTCAATGGAGGGGACATAATACCACAAATGCAAAGAAAATATAAAGCAAAACAGTGCAGTAACCTCTTAGAAAATTATGTTGTTGCTTAATCTTAAACTGTGTAAATAAATATTCAATCAGCATAGAAGCTACTATTTTAATTAGTCATTATTATATATTATAATTCATTTGTATTTGAATGTTTGGCTGCTCACTGTTTGTGTGAAACTGATAATGGTGCTGCTGCCTGTCTTGGCCAGGATACTCTTGAAAAAGAGATTTTTAATCTCAATGAGTTTTTTTCCTGGTTAAATAAAGGTTAATAAAAAAAATATAATTTAAATAAAATCTGCAGGTGAAAGAGAAAGGAAATATGAAACAAAGTTAAAAAAAAAAGACAAATATTACATTATAGTGGTACTCATCATGTCCAAACCTTGTTTAATGGAAAAGTTAGGGGAAGACTGTGATGCACAAATCTTTATATGTCTGTAATTTAGAAGAAGTCTCCATATTTATTTGATTATACAGTCTTTTCGTCCACAACTCTCTCTCCCTCATCAGAGATTCTGTGTCTTAGCAGAATCCAGCTTTCATGTTGCACTCAAAAGAATTTCAGACTGAACTTAAGAACAATAAGAATATTCAATGCATTTATTTCAACCACTTCTGAATAGATTAAAGTTAAATCATGCTCACAAATATTTGCACTTTTGCAGATGAATGGGACTGTGAGAGAGTAATTGTATCCCTGCTGGCTCTCCAGAGAACAACACTGAGACTCAAATTAAACCAGTGACCCGGTTAGGTTTCTGTCAGCATGAGGGGTTATACACCCAGCCCCCATCTCATCCCAACAAAAATGCTTTGCAAAGACTAACTTGTTGACTGACCTCAACCAGAAACTAAATTTACATTGATAAAGTCTTTATGTGGCTAACTACCAAGAAAAATCACTTCAATTTAAATAGAAATAGAGAAAATGTGTATTAGTTAAAACACAATTAGTTAGTTAAATGTCCATGTGGCACACTGTGTTTACTACGTAGTCTTATTAGTTAAAACACTATGAATAACAATGGACCTCCAACATCACACCATACATTCCTAAATACACAGAAAACGTTTTAAACAGCTCATGGTTGGAGTCGCTTTATGGTCTCACATGGGATCAGGCACTTTTTGCCATATACTACTGTTTTTACATGGTTACTCAGATGTTATGTGTACACGATTTTGAGAGTGACAATGTTTGCTGTAATTTTAATAGTGATTTTTCAAATAATCAGTACGTCAAAAGAAACAAAAAAACAATGTGACTGTTTTTGTTTTGACCATGGCTTGTTGGTTGAAGATTTCCAGACAAACAAGGTTGCCACCATTCCAAGTTTAAGAATTATAACAAAAAAAAATCTTTCCTTCAAACCTAATTGAAATTAATTTCAAAATAACCTGCTGATTGAATGTCAGAAATAAAGGCTCACTATAAATCGTTTCGTAGACGTAAAAAAATTGTATTTTCAGAGGTACCCGGCAAAGACAGCGAGGAATAAAATGATTTGATTAATCAATCTATGTCGGGTTATCAACAGAGATGACGTAATGTGTACAAAAATGGATCAATCCTCAGGGGGGGGGGGCATTGCTGGTGGAGCTCGACAAATTACCGTATAGTTTATTGTCAGGTGAGATGCTGCCACCCCGCTTCGTGCTGAGTAGATGGTTCAGTCCACATGCTGCTCGGAGTCGTTGCTGAGGAGGTTCCTCCGTTTGGCACATACCGCTAAATTGGCGTGCAGCCTACTCTCATGTGCTGAAGCAGGAGACTGCACCGCTTTTTTGAAATGCCACCGTCTTCTCACCGGAGTTACCCTAGACACAAGGGCTGGGTCGCATTATTTCACCTTTTGTGCAGTATCACAGGTGAGTGTGTAATTTCGTGTGGCAGTTTATTTGTCCTACTCGCGGTTCAAAGAAGTTTTCTGAGAGAGCAGACTGCCTCTCGCATCCTGCAGACATTTAACATCCACGAGTCTGCAAAACCAGCTGCCTGTATGTGCTCACATGGTGGATTATTATTATTATTTTTATTTTTTTAAGTTTAAGAGGTGTGGCAGGTGACATTTAAAGACTAAAGTAAACTTGGTAACAAGTTAACTTCAACGCTTGGGAGTCGTAACTAAGCCAGCTCCGTATCATGGTGTGACCAGAGGCTGCCATAGAAACAGTCCATAGAAACCAGTGAGAAGCGCGTGCAATAATATTTAATGTTACGTACTCTCAACCACCTACACTTGGGCCATTGCAGATTCCTGAGGCAGCCATATTAGCTCTTGAAACAGTTTTAATCTAAGTAACATGGTGCAGGGATATGTGTGAAGCGGACTGATTTTGCAACATGTTAAATAACTTCAATTTGATTTAAGTTTCTTTCGTGAAGAAGTCATTGCTAAACGTGAGCAGCTCTCAGGTCGTGATGAGGGTCAGCCACCATGTGCCAGCAGTGGAGCCCTACTTCATTATGTTTTAATGAAGGTGATGAGCAATTTACTAACTCCACCCCCGAAACACGCTAACTTTATACCCATTCCTGTTTGATGCTGAATTAAACACTAAAACTTATGGACAACAGTTCAGCTCCTCTTTTTGAAAACAAAACTCATACTTTAGTTAGTTAAAACAAACCAGTAATATAGGCCTAAAACGACAATTTGTCTCAGAAAGCCTGGTCTCTACAGGGTCTATCCTTAGACCACCTGAGATACTGAAATACTCCCTCTAAAAAGCCTTATAGGTGTAACTGAAAGAAAGATACAGGGGAGGCATTCTTCTGAAAGGGCCCACATGCCTGCAGTTTATGCCATTTCCAAACAGGGCTAACAAAGTATTTTTTACAAAAAATACATCTTCCACAAACTGCATCTAAAAATAGATTTAGATTGGAGTCAACCCCTGTTGTACAACTTAACTTTTATAAAAAGTACAATGTTTTAATTTATTTATTCTCCGCCTCTGTTGCACTTTAGCCACTCGCTAGTTTAAAATGTAGAGAAGTTAGCACTTTTAACTTCTTTGGTAAAGTCTTGGAATAGAACTACAGACATTTTTCAGGATCCCAAAGTCCTTTTTCAGCACACAGACTGTTTACATCTGTCAGAGAGTTCAGGTTAAGAAGCAGAAAAAGGTGCACATTCATCTAACTTAAGTGTAAGACTTGGCTACTTCATTATAAGGAGGCTTGACATTGTTCCTTTTACAATACAAAACCGTAGGCACATACCCTCATAGCTTATCATTTTTTGGTCTTGACAAGGAACTCGCAATTTTCCTTTAAGATTTCATACTTCTCACCTAGATGGGATGTGTCTTGTGGCTTATCAAAGCTACATTGACCTTACTTCTTTTCCTCTTAAATGTTATAGGGAAAGCTGACTGATAGCTAGTTCATCATATTCACATGGAGACCGTTAAGTCATGCTCAGAGTTTGAAGCTCGTATGCATTTTTAAATTGTATTGCTATGTTTTTTTTATATTGCTAGGTTGCAAGTAAACTTATATGGTATTCTTTACTGTTTCTTGATTGTTAAGCAACTGAAAATATAAAAAATTAAAATCCAGAGGAAATTGTGCCATATTGTAAGATTAAACAACACATTTGATAACTGATTGGATACCAGAAGTCAGTTTGACATCAGAAAAATGGTGACTGTGAATATGGTGAGTATATTCAGTAGGACCCGACCGATAGGCGATTTTTATGTCTGATGCCGATAACGATATTTGGGAGAGAAAAAAATCTGATACCGATATATTGGCTGATGTCTTTTTTTATCGCTATCTTCGATCTGTAGAGATTAATAGATATAAAAATATACACATTTATTCTGTTGCTCTCTCAAATGCAGTTATCAAATACTCGTGGAAAATATATATTATTTAGAAAGATGTTACTCAACTGATAAGTAACTGCACAGTGCATCACTACTTGACACTCTGGAGAGTGATGATGCATGCTGTAATCCATAAAGCGCCCTCTTGGTGAAAAAGAACTGATAGTTTAAGTCAATGAAACTCAAATGAAAGGCTTTTATCTGATGAATAAATATTGTAATATCGGCACATATCTGCAATAAAAGCAGCCGATACCGATAGTCACTGGATATGCTAATATCGGCCAATATTAGAGGCTGGCCGATTAATCGGCCAGGCTCTAATATTCAGGTTCTAAAGCGATGATGTAGAGCTATAACTTTGCCCAATTTCACACATGCAGCAGTGATGCATATATTTGTTTCACTCACTTACGTTGAGACTAACTCCAATTATAATGCATACAAATAAAAGTATCAAATAATACCAAAAACTGTGGTTTTGTTATTGATAGCGTCAAGGTTTAAGAACTGTAACTTGTGAAGTGTCAGTTTTTCTCATTCTTTACTGGCTACCTCTAACATGTTGATTTTTATTGTCTTTGCTGATCTTATCCTGTCCATGTAGTTGAATGATCACTCTCCCTGCACCTTTTTATTGCTGCCCTCTGTAGTCAGCTAGAAACACACATTTCATCAACTTTGTTGTGAAGTACAGTTATAGGCCTAAAACATGTATGGGAAAAATGTTGATCTGAAGGTCTGACAATCTGAATGGTTAAACTGCCATTCAATCATCCTGTCCTGCCCTGCACAGCTGGCTTTGCCACTTTCACCCTAACACCATCATCCCTTATGTTCTGATTTCCACTTTTAACAAGACAACCTGCCCTCTGGCAAGACACCCATATTAATATACTTGCTGCCACATAAGTGGTGCATGTGAAGGTAATATTGACTAAAGTGAGAACGAAGTGAGAACGAGCAGCAGAGTGTCCCCAGGGAGCAATGTGTCCTTGATGCTAGGATATCTATAATCTGTTTTCTGCTGTGTGTGTGTGTGTGTGTGTGTGTGTGTGTGTGTGTGCGTTTAAAAAGACACATTGTGTTGCATTTGCAAACCAAACTGAGTGGGTCTACTGAAGCAACTCTCTTTGAGGATAGAACTATTGTAAGAACTTAAAGCGGTTTCTTCTTTGTCTGTGAAGCACAAGAAGAAAAAGAGAAACATTCTTATTGCTATGTCAAGATAGGCTGAATATAAGATCAGATAGACTGTGCCCTTATTCTCATCACTTTCTTATTCTGAGTTAGAGAGAACGAGGGCATGCTTATGTAAGGTTGTCGTCATGTCACCAATAAAAGTTTAATACTGTCCCTATACCTCTTCCATTATATATTGAGTTCAGTTAAAAAAAAAACAGCTTTCTTTGCCCTTAGACTGCTGCTATTCTTGACTTTTAGCCTTATCTAAAAGTATACAGTGGGTCATAAAGTCAGGTTTCTATTAGGCAGAAGCCCACGTTGTAGTGTAGTACAGTGGTTGATTTGTCATCGGCATTGCGTAGCCACATTTTTCAAACAAATTGATTATATTGAAGTCTACTTACAAATATTATTAAGAGGAATTCAGTATGAACTATGTATTTGTTTCAGTATGTGTTTTTTCCCTCAACTTTTATTTTGCCACTGTACATCAAGTACCTTCTGCAGTTTGTCATTTTCTGGTGACATCTCTTTATGAAATGCCAGTTCATTTTAATGTGTTCTCAGCTCTATGGTGCCTTACATGCCCACTTGACTTATAGTGGAGATTCTCTGTTTTGGTTTGATTCACTAATCGCACGTCAGAAAACCGTAGCTTTTCACCATCCATTTACATCCATATTAGCTTCACTCTTCTTTTGTGGAAGTAGTGAGCTGTTTGCACAATATGTGGGTTACAAAGACATATTATTCAGAACGCCTCCATATATTTTATTTAACCCTGAACTAAACATGAAGTCCCTTCAATTTTAAAATACCTTCTCCCATTGCTCTTCAACTAGTGTCAATTCAACCAGTCATCCTTTCTTTCTAGGTTATGTATTTTGTCAGTTCTCAAAACTACCGCTTGATTAACACCACTAATTTGTTGTCAGCGATATAATATGTTAGCGTTTTATGTCATGTGTTTCTAGACTTGGTATGCTGAGTATAATGAAAAATAAATTTTAAAAAAGGGCCAAGAAAAGCATACAGAGCCGTGACATAATTTTTCGCTTTCAGATGACAATGGAATCTGTTATGGGGAACTCTGATATAAGTTGAGGAGAATGTTAAAATAGTTTTCCAGGACATTAAGCTTTTTCTCTAATTTTCCATGACTTGAAAATCAGTCGACTGTTTTCCAGGACACATGGGAACCCTGTTTTAGATGTGGGGATGATATGCATATTTATGGTCTGAACACACTAAATGAAAGCAAATGTGCTATTTGTTTTGTAATAGACAAAGGACAAAGACTGGTCGAGCTACTAAAAAGTGTCCATGTCTTAGTTTTGGTTGACAGAGAGACTTGCCGTAGATGGTGGCTAGCACGGGCGTCATGGGATAATATTTGAACACTTTGTTGTGTTTTTAAGCCATTGACTAATTTTATGTGAACATAGATATCTGCAATAAAAATGTTCAAAATCTAAGAGTTGAAATCACATTAACGAACACAATATAACTCCAAAGGGTTTTTTTTTTTTAAGCCTGATTGTTGTTAAATCCAGATTTCTTCCTCGAGTGATATCTTGATCCGATTCTGTAATGTCCACATGTTATCAAGCAGAGATTTTTTATTTTATTTTTTTTGCTGGAATGCACTGTACTGAATTTAAGTATTAATTTCTTCTTTGTTTCAGATAAGCTTAGCATATTGTATTAAAATAAAGCTTTACAGTATTTCAAGGTATTCTTAAAACAATCACCAATAGTAAATTGCAACTTCTTTTTTCTCACTGCTGTCTGCACTTACTGTAACAGTTTCATAATATCTGTTGCTTACATGCTTCCAGAGGATGTGATGGAGGACAGAATGTACAGTCCTTGTTCATTGGAATAAATACACTTTGATGCTAATATTAGTCTTCAACAGTGTGAGTTAGCCAAATTATCTGGGTATCTTCCAAAGATTGGCCTTTAGTGCAGAATTCCCTCTGTGAGTTTCCACAGTGACACTGAAGTTGGCAAATGACAAAGTGAAAAAAAAAAGAAAATGATGTACTATAAAAAGTAAGAAGAGTAAGTTAAGATTCGAGGTATTTTGGCTCATGACATGATGTACGGATCTCATTTATATTCACTAATAAAAGAAAGCGTGTAAGGGGAGGGATCTTTTATTGTCAAGTGTGCACAATGATAACTGCTTGCAAAAAGCTCATGGGCGTTTGAGTTAAGTTTTCAGACGAACTAAAAAAAACCATCTTAAGATCCTTTTAATTAAGAGGTACCGTATGAATTGTGCAAACTTCAAAGTAATGCTGAGTTTATGTTTAGAATCGTCTCTTTTGTTTGTGTACACATACATGTAGGTATTGTAGTGAAACCAGTGCACAGACCTAAATGGCACATAAATTCAGGAATAGTGTCTCCACAACATTCACAGCTGAACATCTCCTCACTGTGGCACTGATATCCGCTGCCCTTTCTCTGTATGAGCAATACGATGACTCATGTTGCCTTCTGTGCAAACAGTATGCTATCAAGAGTTGATAGCCACATTGAAGAATTGGCTTGTATATAATCCCAGTCCCATGTGGGCTGACATATAATAAGTGTTGAAAACTTTGCTCAGTGACTCATTATATTTGAGAATTTGATTAATAGATAATTCAATATAATATAACATTATTAATTTAGTTAATTCTCCAATTCGACTAACGAGTCACCCTTCAATATTTGAGTTGGGATTTGTTTTGTAATTACCTGGAAGTCCTAGAATCTAATCTACTCTCTGAATCAAACATACAAAATTAAATGTAACTAGGAAAACCAGGAGCTATGTCATAATGACAGGGCTCTCAAAAAATCTAACTGTTTTCTATTAGCAGAAACACAAAGAATATAAAATAGACATTCATATGAAATAGGCTTAGACCAATATTGGAGGACATGGCCTTTTTAGAGGGAGTTTGGCCTGAGAAAGAGCTGTTTTTGGCAAAACTACAATAGAATATTTGCAGTCAATTGCCAAGAAACGCAGCAGGTTTTGATTTATGATGATGTCTTCCTGCTGGCAGCTTGTAGCAATTAGTGATCTGGTTGAAGACTTTGGCAGCCTAGCAGTGTTATTTTGTCTTTTCTAAATCACAAACATAATTCCGCAGTTTTTGTGTATCGGCATCCTGGGGATACATTTCCTCTCACTTGTGTTTCATACGTGACTCTCCTCACTCTCAGCCCTCTTTCTCTTCTCTCAGCGATGATGTCATCCTCTTCATGTTAGCATATCTCTTCCCGTCTATTTTTTTCTGCCGGTCTCAGTCTGTTCCCTTCATCTCCCCCTGACTTCCCCAACACGATGTCGAGATCTCTGCTCTCTTTTGAGATATGCTGTTTCTCTGACAAGTGCAGGTGACAGGGTGCAGGAGGTTAGTTATATTTGGACAAAGGACCTACAGACAGTGTGCTTTTAATTCTTGAATTTAGGTCAGAAGGAGGAAAGCAATAAAGGCAAAACAAATTCTTGGATGGAGCACTCAGCCACTCTGTCAGCTGTGTATTATTTGTGGAAAACCCAGAGCCTGCTGTGCTGGTATCAAGCTTTGATCCCAGTCTGATACCCGCAGATGTCAGATAGTATTGAACTTTATAGATATGAAATAGTCTTAACGATTGACGTCAGAGGCAACACCAAAAATACTCACTGATGCTGTTTGTTGATCTCTTACTCAGCATTAGATTGATAACTCATCCACTCTGGTAATCCCATCCAACATTTTCAAAATAGCAAATGTAATCGGTGCCATTTATGCCCCATATGATCTTTTTCAGTTATTCCAAATTTCATTTTTTCCTAAATAAGTTTTTTTCAATATTCCTGCTGTCTTGTAAAATCAGAGGGCCCAACCAATGACTTGATAAAAGCTACTGATATTTAATTGCAGGTTCTGTATTCTATTTGAATCCAAATTGTTAATACCTGCCCTTTATATTAGGGCTTAAAGAAACAATGTTTTTCATATCAAATTAAAACTGATGTGATGATTATTTTATTGGTGAATCGGTAGCATTTATTTTTGTTCAAAATAAAGCTGCAACAATCAGCTGTTTAAACTGTGATGAAAGTAATTGGCAATAATTTTGTTTCTACACTGAGTCCACCTCTACAAATGTGAATATGCACTTGTTTTTCAAGCTACCTATGATCATTTGTATTCACTGGTAATTGGGTCCGTCAATCCTGGCATGAAGAAGGCTCAAATAATGCACTTTAGTTCAAGAGAAGCATTACATTTTAAAAATATGACAATAATCCAAACTTTTTTGACAGTGCATTCATTACTTGTTTTTGTACAGTGTTTCCAAATTATCCAGTGAATGTCATTGTTTGTGGTTAAAAATCTTGCTTTTGTGCATCTGCAGGTGTATGGGGCAGTCAGGTTCTGGTTCCTCAGAGGGTGAACGCTGTCCTTGGGAAGAATATGACATTGGATTGCAGGGTGGAGGTGGGCACAAACCTTACCCTCACACAGAGTTCCTGGGAGCGCCGTCTGCCTTCAGGCTCTGTCACTGTGGCGGTCTACAACCCTAGGTTTGGCATTTCCATTCCTCCAGAGTTTATACATCGCCTGTATTTTCGCTCCCCCTCCTCTCATGATGCCACCATTGTACTGGAAAACGTGGGCTTTGCTGATGTTGGGATCTATACTTGTAAGGTTGCTACATTTCCTCTTGGAAACACGCAGGCCTCCACCACTGTCAATGTACTAGGTACGTATGAATGTTTGAGCACATGATTTCTTATTTGCAAGTACAACTCTTGTGTTCCAGGTGCTCTGGTAGCTCACCTGCTTAGCCTGATACGATGGGTAATAATGAGTCTTTATCGCTGTGACCTGGCTTCCATTCAAACCCAGAACCATTGCTGTATGTCAAAAAAAGGGAAATAACTCAGAAACAATAATATTGATATTTGGGGCAGCTGAAAGTAGGGTTTGACCTCCTTCACCTTGTGACTTTGAAAGGAGTTCTCTCTGAACCTTGGGTTATATAGGATTATATAACATAGGTCTTGTGTCTCCCCTGCACATACTTATATTGTGCAGTTTCCAAAGTAATCAGTGGAGTAAAACAAAGAAATCCAAAGAAAGCAGCGGTAAAGTATAAAATTGACATCATCAGCAAATATTGAAATTATTTATTGGATTACATTAGTGCATGTATTAGTGCATTAACTAAAGGACCTGTAATCAAAACCTCAGAAGGGTCTTGAAATTTCACACTGCCGTCTCTGTTTTTTCTCCTCTTTATCTTTGCTGGTTCTCTGACTCACAGTGGAGCCGAAGGTCTACGTGTCTGCAGGTTCCACCGCCCTGATCGATGGTGGAAATGACACTGTGGTGGCCACCTGTATAGCTGAGCGGGCCCGTCCCCCAGCTGAGGTGTCCTGGGAGTCCAACCTTTTTGGTCAGTCAGAGGTGCAGCTGCTTGATGAAGCCAACGGCACAACCAGCACACAAGTGCGTTACCTCTGGCAGCCCACACGTCACATCCAGGGGCACACACTCACCTGTGTGGTCCGGCACCCAGCTTTAAACAGTGACTTCAGGATCCCTTACCAGTTAAATGTACAGTGTAAGTGTGGTGTATGTTGGGACTATATTTTGGAAAGCCTTCTGGTATATGTCCGGCCAATTGTTAGTGTATGCTGTAGAGTCTACATTATAAGATGGAGTGGAGGCTCTCTGCTGTCAGTTGAATGGAGTAAACGGGTTAGAAATTTCTTTGCTCCCTCCCTATACTTTAATTTGAGCATCTAAAAAAAAAAGCCAATTATGCAGAAAGTAAAAGAGAAGAATCTCACAAGTAAAGGTATTTTATGTCAACATTAGTTTCATTATTATGCTTGTCCTTGTCAATATTGATGTTTGATATATCTGACGCACTTACACAATGATTCTGTTTAGAGAAACGGTTAGAGATGAAATCAAGGACAATCTGCGCAGCTCCCTGCATTACATTTAATATAAAGCATGAAAGGCTGTCCCGGTGTTTTCCTTGTTGTTGTTTTTCCTTTTTTCAAAGTATATTTCCTTAGGCTTTTCTGTGTCAGTACATATCTGAGTATGCCCTTAAACTGTCAAAACTAAAAATGTATTCTGCCAGTAAGCCCCGAAAGATATAAGGGTACCTATTGGGGCAAAAATGGCTGACTGGGAACAAGCAGCAAATCAACTTGGGAAATGAGTAGATGTACTCTTTGAAATTTTTATTTTTTATTTGTTTGACAAAGTGGATTTTCACTTGAGTTGGACTCATTCAATGTAATGCACAGAAAAGAGCAGACTAGTCATGTTACAGTAGTTCAATACCCAGCAGTCTGTAAGAGAAAGTCATCCTTTATGTTATAGCTACAGTAAAGCATTTTTTTTTTTTTTTTTTACCAGCTATCTTCAGGGAAATACCAGAGACAAAAGATTTTGATACATGAAAAATTAAGCACCATCTACCATGCCAGTTAATAGATGTCTAAATGTTTCCCCCTCTTTGTAGTTTCTCCTGATATCTCAGTGGTGGGCTATGATGGAGACTGGTATGTAGGTCGGGAAAATGTTCAAATGGCGTGCAAAGCCAACGCAAACCCATCAGCTCATCACTTCAGATGGATCAGGTGTGTATTTGTGTGTATTGTATGACAATTTCCTTTTATTATATCAGCTGAAATGGGCAACGATTGACAACTTAAACCAAGTTTAAAATCAAATTTTCAAATGACTTGTACTCACTGGAACCTTCAGGTAATCATTTCAGATGAGCATTTACAATACTTTTAATGAAGTTGTGAATGATAATGCATAGAGAAGGATCATTGTTAAGGTGTTTCTTGGTATGTCTAAATGTTTCATTCTTGTATGCCTCATAGATTGGACAGTGAAATGCCAGAGGGGGTGGAAATACTGAACAGCACTTTGCTCTTCCTGCGTCCCCTCCAGCGGAATGACTCTGGAGTTTACAGGTGTGAGGTTGCCAATGACATCGGCCTCCGCAGTCGGGATGTGCGCATTCTCATACAAGGTGAGCAGAGAATACACGCTGGAACACAGCTGACTCCTATTGCCATCTCTTCCCTTAGGAAGCTCTGTGCGTGCACACACGTCATAGAGGGTATCTCTGCCTGTGACATTGTCCTTCAAGCTGAAATGTGACACTGTATCACTCTCGTCCATACTGTACATACTGACAGCCTGTCAAGCATTCACTTATGGTACAGTGTTAGCACTGATAATATTTTACCCTTTTATTTCTCCTTAATTGCATGCTGCATAGCCTTGATAAACATTAGGTATCCAGATGTTGAAAAGGGGAATTCCTGAGCCAAGCAGCTGCAAATATTTAAAGTCGCTTTAGACCAGGGTGCTCTGCCTCTGATCCCTTCATTGCATCTTAAGTCTTTTTCACATGTTCACTCCTAAAAATGTCAAAAATAATTTCAGGACAGACTGCCCCTGAAATCTTCCTGGGTTGTCTGTGCACATGGGCATCTCAAAGCAGGAGACTGCAGGACAGGGGGCGAGGGTGGGGGGGGCGCGTCTCAGGAGGCTAGACATTATGTAAAAAGGACAAGGTGGAAGATGCAGAGAGGCAAGAGTCTGATGCTATGATTATAGGTCTTACCTATAGTATTGAACATTTTCACAGTATTAATGGATGACTCCACTGCATCACACTGGTTGCTCACTGATCATGTGATATGAAGGCCATCACCCCCAACCAATATGGTACATTGTCCTGAATTATCCTGCTGCATTCTCGCGTTGGTTAACCCTGACTTCAAACAGAATTTTTACTAGAGGCTGGCAGGAAAAATTTGGGTATAAGTCATGGTGAACAGTTCAGCTGTTTACGTTCACTAATGCAGCTCATCCTGAAAATAATTCAGGAGTTTGGTGCAAGTATAAAATCCCCATAAGTGTGTTGTGTCTCTTGTATATGATGAGCATGTTCCTCTTGTTTCACAAAATCTGCTTTGTCTGTGCTCGCTTTAAATGAAGGTATGATTGTTTCTCTTTTACAACTCTCCCTCTTCCTGTCTGTGATGCTTTTATTTCTGCATGTGCCATGAGTATGAGGCAAAGCCTGCAGCCTAACTGTGAGATGATGTCCCAGATTCATAAAACATTAACAAGTTCTTTTCAACTCCTATTTATTATTTATCATCCATATTTCCTTTTCCTTTGAGAGGACCTGTACGTGTGTGTGCAAGCGTACACATGTTGATGTACTCTTCGTTGTGTGTGTGTGTGTGTTTCTGTGGTTGTGTTCACATAGGTTGGTTCATTGCCTCTGCATGGATTACTACGAATCATATACTAGAGACTACAAACCTTTGGGTTTGTGTTGGTCATGCCTCAGATGCTAATCTTTTCCTCACATCTGGCCTGGCAACAAGGTTAGAGTGGCAGTGTAATTTTGCAGCACCATTAAAGCTTTTAGACTCAGATTCTTTCCATTACTCGAGCTCCTTGTGATTATGGCTTTTGGCTTTTCTGTTTTGTGGGCATCACCACTAATCCAGTTCAATTTAAGGTTCCAATACTGGTGTAGAGAGATAGCGGGAAGACACCATTATACTTGCAAAACAGGGTGATAAATGCATATTCTCGTGCAATTTAAGAATGCAACATACTATTTTGTATGCAATGCAAAAGTCTTGTTACGGGAGCATAACCCAAACCCATGAAATCTTTGGATATTGTGACCCCTGGATGCTGACTGCAAAGTTTTAACATATTTGAAAACTGTTTAAGGGCTTTTGATAACCAACAATTATTTAGTTTTTAATTGTGGTTATTAACTTTGACAGTTGCACATATCTGCATTTTGAGGGACTTGGTTACACAGCTAAAAGCTTTCCTGCTAACCTGTAACAAAGCTGTGCTCATGCAGTTCTGCTGCCGGTGTTGAAAATCTTCCCTCAACATTTCTAAATGGGCCCATTATAAACTTTATTGCCTTGAAACTAACTGGTAGAGGCGATGTAACTGAGACAAGTATTCTTAGAATATGACCTGCCACTAAGGGGAAACTCTCCTGAGCTACTGGTTGAAAATGACAAAAGGAAAAACAGGATTTTTTAAAGAAGCATTATTTAAAGTTGATGATTTCCTCCTTGAAGCAAATTTAACTCTTTAACCTGTATGCTTCAACTACAATATATGAGGACACCGATAGTGTGATCGCTGTTCTCCAACACACGCTCACACACCTTGTCCTAACAGCATGCAAGCACTGGATATTCATCGCATCACAGCATCGGACGTTAGCTATCCATTAAATAACAAAATCTTTGTGAACAGTATGACGTGTTGCTTTTCTATTAAAGTGAACAAACTGGTGCTTAGTATTGACGAGCGTTGAAGGCTACATCTTGAACGGCTCGCTCTGAGCCTAATAAAGTTTTTGTCTGGTCAAAGAACATTTCAATCATGGATGTGAAACATGGATAGTAATAAGCACCACTACCAACACCCCAGGAGCTAACAAGCTCTGTTGAGTGAGAAAAGTGAATGGGAATGAAAAGTTAGACACAGTGCCTTGAAGAGCCCCCTACTTTCTCAATTCTCATCTATGTCTATGTGAGCGACAGGAATTCAAAAAGGAATGGGCATGGGAATACTTGAATGTGTATATAATTGCCTATCATGGAACACAGCCCGAGTCTTGCAAACATCAGAGAAACAATAGAATTTCCATATTTTTATTGTTGTTCCCTCCATGTTCGATACCTGTTTTAGTTGTAGTCAAAGCCACTCACTCCTGTTTCTAGTCACAGATTTCTTCAGCAGATGTTGGTTTGCTCTTGCCTTGCCTTTTAAAAATTCAACCTTTCATGTTTATTATTTTTCTGTGATTTAAGGGTATTTGACACCCCTGTCACAGTTACTTTATAAACCCTAACAAGGATGTTTAGGTTTTGATAAATTTGTGTCTATTTCCTCAGTCTTTCCTAAAAAATAATGTTTTTATGAAAGAGTCCATATTTCAACCAGTTTTAAAGAAATTGCAACGCAAAACTGATGCTGCTGCAAGAATCTATACTCTAGTTGGAGTGGTAGTTTAGTTTATGGTTTTGTCAACCTGTCCCTACTTTAGTATAATGCTGATATAGTTGGCATTGACATTCTCTGCTTTTCTGTCTGTTCGCCTCTCCCTTTCATCCTCTTCTCCCCTCTCACCCTGCTTCCCTCCATTAGATCCTCCCACCATGCCTTCCACCATTACTGCTCCCGTCCTAACTGGCTCCGCCTCCTCCACCGTTGTGGATGAAAAGGGGCATGTCCTTCTCAGCTCCCCCACACTTGAAGCCCTACCAGAAAGTAATCTTGGTTCCATAGTAGGTGGGGCTGTGGGCGGGGCCTTGTTCCTGCTGCTGCTGCTGTGTTTGGTGGGCGTGTTTTACCTACGGAAACAGCAGACCTTCCATGGGGATTACTACACCAAGCAGTACCTGGGAAACAACGACCTCCAGAAAGCCCCCACCCAACACGAGCTCCATCCTACTAAAGCCGGCAGCAGCTCTCACAAACGGGACCAGGATCGTGAGGAGTGGGGCGACCGCCATCTCAAACAGGAGCGTGAGCGTCGTCTCCACAACAATTATAACGGAGAGGAGTATCCCGCCAATGGATACACGAGGGCAATGAGGGAGAGTAGTCCTCACAACAACCATCAGCAGAATCAGCACCGTGAACACACACAGTATTCTAGTCCTCGGCAGGCCAGGAACACCAGATACCCTCGATCGCCTAAACCTCAGGGAAACGGCTCCCCATACATGTCAGATGACTGCTATGATAGCGGCCCTGAAGGCGACTATGTCTCCCACAGAGATGGGTCCGTCATCTCACGTAGGGAGTGGTATGTTTGATAAACTACATGGTCCTGCAGGAGCAGAAATATCACAAACATAGGTTTATAAAAGTGGGGGAGCAATTTCTAGTCTGTAAGCACTTGCACACTTTTACTTATCTCAGTTCAGTAGTTCTTGTGTTTTGTACAAAAGTCTTGGTCAATACTTGAGATATAATGTTTCTGTTCTTGATATGGAGAGACTGTGGACTGCACGGCCACTTTGACTTTAACGTTTTCATGCCTGGAGAATTTGGCATGTCTCTAGTTATTGTGTGTAAAGCCTAAAGATCCTGATGTATGTACTGTCTCTGCCTTACTACATGGAATGCCAATGTATTTATTATAACTAATGTCTTAGCTTCAGTTAAGTGGTTGCCCTGAGGAGTGCAGATCACATATTGCTGTTGTACATAAAGGTTTTGTTGTTTATTTCTACAAAATCCACCCTCTCAGATATACAAATCAAGTCTCACAGATTTGGTCAAAAGACCCCAAATCTGACTTTTGGGAATGGTAGAGAACCCATGACTCAAAAGTAAATGCAGGATAATCAAATGGCCACAGATCTTTTTTTTGTAACCAAAACCCAGATGCAGAGGCACATATGCTTATTCTAATTTAAACAAAAAAAGATTAATCTTGCTTAGAAATCAGAATTCTTTCCTTAATGAATAATGATAAGAAAAATGAATCCACTGCCTTTTGCAAAACTTTCTTATAAACATCCTCTTAGTTTGTTTTCCAAGACAATGTCTCTCCTTTGTTTTTCTATCCCAGTTTAGGACTCTTGTAAGCTTCAGGATGTGGCCCCTAATGTTCCACCAGTTTCCTTTAAAACTGACGGCCTAGAGCACAAACCTTAAGAGCATTTCAACAGTATGTCCTCAGCTCATCCTCTATACAGTAGGGGAAGGGCAGAGAAAGAGCAGGCAGGGAGGCCCACATGACTGAGGCACAGTCCTCTCCAACAGGCTACGTTATGAAACAGTCAAGACTTGTTATGCAAATGTGCTACAAATTTCTCCAAGTCTAAATAAGATGGAATATCAGGGCATTTGTTTACTTTTTCAGTGGGGGAAAAAAGTTTCAGGTTAGTTGTCCTCTAATTTACCAGGATTCTCCAGTTGGCTAGCAGATTATAATGGTTTAGTTGAAATGTTGCACTCTGGCACCATACCAGGGCTGTTGGAGGTTCAGGAGGGCTATCAGCAGGGCCATTGTTAAAAGCAGGTTACAGTATGACAGCCACCATACGCTGGCCTCCTAGTCACAAAGTATTTTGTTACACAAAGAAATCATTCAAAAGTGTGGCCAGTACACGCATACCACAAACAACCACCGATGGACTAATTTCACCACTCTGAGTAATCCGTAGAAACAAGACATGACTGTGTCACAATTACAATCTGACGCATTAATAGGCTTACTGTTGCTTATCCATGATTTCAGCTGCACTCTCTAATCATGTGCACCACTTCTTTTAACATTCAACATGCATTATTACTACCATTCTATCATTCAAGTGTTATGTAGACATATCAGGGCAATCGTGACAGACATTATTGTTGCACTGATCCTTAAATCCTGCACTCACAATTATCTACTAAGTTGGTATGATACAATTCCCCCCTTGTTTTTACTTGAGAGAGGATTTCAGGCTAGTTTTATAAAAGAAAACTGTAGAAATGTCTAATCAGCCATATTTTGTAGCTAATCATGATGTTATAACATTGCAGGACATACCAAGTACTGTGATTGAACTGAGGGAATAGTGATAGAATTCTGGAGTTATTGTGCCCCACTATTTTATTTAGATTAAGTTATAATAGACTAGAAGATGTATTTCAGTTGTTTCATGTGATCAGGTAAAGAAATAAATTTGAAGTATTTCAGCACAGCTTGGACTTCCCCCACATATTAACCAGACAGTATGGACAAGAAACACAATTTCTTCCATGCTGGCCAGTATTTGTGAATACATGCCAACTCTAATACAACAGTCACCTACACAATATTTGCAGCCAGATGCCAAATATTAGTTCAACTTGTATGTATAAATATGATGACAGTATTGATGACTAGCTAAAAGCTTATATATAAATGGCTAACGTATCACTGGTTTGTACAGCGTCTTGTAGACTGAATTAGGAGTGAAAAGATGCTTTATGCCACTTTTTTATGACATTAAGAAATGTCAAACTGGGAATTTGTTATATTGTTATGAGCTCTCAATAATTATTTGTCAGGGTGTGAATTGTGTGCAGTGAATTTGCTGCTGTTCTCATAGTGAGATATGATAATGTGCCACTGTTGCATAAAGAGAATATGAACCCTTTACTGCAATCAATGTTGTTTAAAAAGGTGCGTAACAATAATTGTTTTATGTCCATATAAACCTGCTTCACAATCCTCTTACTAACTTCAGTTCACTCCATATCTCTACAATTCCTCACTTTTAGAACCTGTATGCTTTCGATATGCAGAGGTTTCGAGATTTCCTTCTGCCACTTTTATCTCTTGCTTAAAGCAACATTTCTGTGCAGATAGAAGTTTCCTGGGTGAAACATTAAGAAGAAATATGTTGCATAAAGAGATGCTTGTTCAAAATTATTTGGGGGGAAAAAGATGTTTTCAAATGTCATGAGCTCGAGAAACCAAATTAATAGATAAACCATTTTTTGAATTGAGATGCAGGTTGATATCTCAGAAATTAGATACTGCTTCATGCAAGCGAGGATATTAATTACTCTGTGATTTGTGATGACCCTTTAATAGATGTGTCCATCATTCAGTAAAAATGATTGTGGAATAAAAGCAAGGTGCTGGGGTTTCATGTGCTGCTGTTATGTTGTTGTTCTCAGCCTCTCTGCTCACTTTCACATGAGTGCAGAGACAAATGGGAAGCACAGCAGCTAAACTCCTTCTGTTTGCTTCCCTGCCCTAAAAAGGAAACTCGACTAATCAATATCCTATTTTTGCCCGACACATCAGTTTAAAGCCCCACTACTGGGTGGATGCAGTTCTTTTATACTGTCTGACATATTGTTTTAAGCTCAGTCATCCATACCTTTATCTTGGAAAAGTATTCTTCACTTTGGGTTCAGTTCAACTAGTGCCTTAGATACCTAGAAGAATAAATTAGTGTTTTTTATTATTGTTTTAATAGGGATGTAAAAACATATGCTGTTGCTTTATGAGATTTTTTTTTTTTTTTTTTTAATTTCACTGCAAATAACGTGCCATATTTACTTTCCTGGAAAATATCTGACGTATATTGTCAAACCTAGAGGCATTAAAACAGAAAAAGAAAAAGCTTGAATGAATTTGGATGTAAAATGAGTTCAGTCATGTCTTCACAGGTGTCTCTGTCAGGGTTATTTTTTCTTTATTATCACTGTTATTGTCAATGAAAAGCACCTTGTGTTCATGTATGTTTTTTTTGTATATACAGAAAAAAAATGTTTCTAGAGGGAGAAAAAATATTTCTGTGAGTGACAACAGTGAGCATTATTTTGTCAATCTTTTTAAGATCCTTTAGTTTAATAAAGCACCTTAGCACCTGTGAGTTATTTTCTCTGGAGCTTTTTAAGCTTGCAATTACTCCGACTGCTCGCTCTCTGCTCCTCTTTGTGCTTCTATAAATGACATCATCTCTAACTCCCTAATGCATAAAGCTACACCCCACACACACCCCCCCCAATCCAGTGCGCACATGTGGAACGCCGCAAATGACGTAATCCAAATTCATGTTTCCTTGATTCACCTTATCTTTATTAGTCTTCAGTGTCCAAAAATGCTGTAATATGGCGCTTTCGTTCCTCTCCACTGGTGCTTCTATAGTCGTGGGAGATCTGACACCTCGCCACAAGTCCTAGTTTGCTTTGTTTCAGGGACAGAAAGACCCTTGGTTCTCCCCCACAGCTTGCCTCCTTTGTGAATTCCCCCACCCACCCCCGTTCTTTCTCCCACTGTCTACCAGTTGGTAAAATTAAACGCTGAGTGTTTATGTCTGGCCCAAAGTCCCTACTCTGGAGCCCATTGACTGTCCCCATGGCAACAAGCTCATCTGGAGCTGCTGATGGAGGCTGTCTCTTCCTGCACGCTTTACCTGGACACAGAAAGCAGAGGGAGAAGAATGTCGCTGACGGGGGGGGGGAGCGGAGAGTTTAAACTCTGCAGCTGTGAAAGGCAGCGCAGAGAGGGAGAATTAGCCACTGGAATTGAAAATGGCCCATTACGCTCTGCTGCATTCACACAGCTCCTCAGGCTGTAAGGACGTAACACGCCAATGTGACCTTGACACTGTTTAGCTTGGACTCCAGGTCCTCAAGACACGTTTCCTTTAAAGGTCTTTAATTCAGCTGACCTCTGTGTCTCCAGTAGTTCTAATGTTGGTCCCAGCAGTTGTTGATATTTTGACCTTGAAAGGAGGGAAGGCTGAGAAAAGTGACGAAGCTCAGAGTAATGATGTCATTCAGCTTGCTTTAAATTAGTTTCATACACTCGTGTAGGAAATCAGTGGATTTGCTTTCTGCCTGCAACACTACAGTTTCCAAGGATACTTTTCATAACACACAAAGGAGTGAGCAAACATCTCTGTCAGCGTGGAGGGACGCAGCGTTGAGACTTTGATAATAACTCCTCAACAGAAGTGGGATCTAATTGTCTCGGTCGTTGAGCTGAAAATATTGAAAAAGATATCGGGAGAGGAAAATAACATACCACCCACTGCTCTGACCTTCGTCACCTGCTTTGCTGTTACACCAGCATCTGCTCCCCGAGGGATCTGCTGCTGGGCAATAGCATGACCCCTTGACCCTGCTGTTGAAGTTGTTGGAGGGTGGGGGGTGGGTGGGGCGGGAGTGTAGGGGTTGTCCTGCCATCACTCGCTCCCTCACTTCTCCTCTCGACAGCGAGATGTGTGCTGTTAAATTCATGATGAGCACGTCTGCTGCACTGACCTCCAGAGCATCAGCATGCACTTTTCTCTTCACAGTGATGATGTGCATGTGTGATAAAGTGCTGAAGTAAGAGAGACATAAAGGAAGAGGTTTGCACTGGAGCCAGATCTCCGTCTGGGGACGGTTGATCCACCACTAACGCCACTAATCTCAGTCCCCCCCCAGAAGGGATGAAATTTGAACCAATTAAATGTTTGTTTATTCTTCTTTTTGACTTTTTCCCTTCAGTTAAACTTGTATTTTCCCACATATTTAACACACATGTAAGACACTCCTGCCTAAACCTTAAGATGCTACTGTAAATGCATGTAGTGTTTGTCCCTCAGTGCACAAATCTGTCACAAGGCATTCTAGTCGCCAGCTTCATGAACTGCATTTTTAGATGCTTTCTGATCAACTTGAGAGGCTCTTGTCTTAGTTCAGCAGCCATCAAAGGTAATCGAACGGTTATTAACTGTTAGAGAACAGCTTGAAGGGAGAAAAGAGGTGCGGGGGAGGGGAAAAACAGAGGAAGAAGTGGCTTTCAGGGGGCGAGTGCAGAAGTCCCAGCTTGTTCAATCTGCATCATAATTGAACTGTTATTTAAGATTCTCATCCAAGCACATTATTGATTTTTTTCTCCCACCTCAGCAGCTAAATCAAGTGGAATTGACCATCACGCACTTTGATTTTTTTTCACTCTATCACCTTTTGTCCTCGTGTTCCTTCAGTCCTACAATCACAGTTTTTCTTATTACTGCTGAATAGCCAAAGCTGGTTGTTCGAAGAGTTTAATGCATCTTAGCCACAATTAATCCTAATCCTCCTCTGTGGACAACATGGAGCACATGCAAGCATATGGTCAAACAAAGCTAATTTCACCAGACTTCACCAGAGCATCTAGACACACAGGAAACATGGAGGACAATAGTGACACAGAGAGAATGGAGGGAAGGGATGATTTAAAGTGATGTATGAGTGAGTAATACAGTTTCAAGAAGCACCAGCTCCATTTATCTAGATTGATCTGCAGCCTAATTCTTAAGCTTAACAACATTTTACCCTTGACAGACTTTGACACTCTTTGCAAAGCAACGTCCATTCAGAAAACAAGTTTGATGAAGATTGCATGGCCAGATTCAAATGTTTTAAAGTTGGATTAGTTTCTCATTTAAATAGTCATTTAGATATACTCACTTTCTTTTTAAGTGATTGATTAAAAAATTCAGAATCATTTGCATGACTGTATAGTAAATACAAGTTACAGCAGCTAGCAAAGCTCTTTCTGAACGTAGTCTCTCTTTCCTGTATCTTGAAAGCTTCCTCATTACATTTTATATCTTATTTCTTTGTTTCAAAAGGTAAAATTACAATTTGTCTTTCTAGGTTATGAAGTGGGTGCCTTAGATAAGACTTTGTCTGCTGGCTGTGGTGCCATGTTTAACAAACAGATATGAGTCATATCAACCTTCAAATCTAACTTTTAGCAAGGAAGAAAATAACTGATTTCCCTAACTATCAACCTTCGTTTGTTGAGTTGAAGGTTTTTTGTTTTTTTGCCAAAGTGATTCCAGTTTAGTCAGTGTCTGCAGTTTATGCCAGCCTGTATAAAAGTGCACCACCTTTAGGACAGGAACATTATGGCAGCAGTTAAGCGCTGGTGGCATCTATTCAAAACGGTGTTTCCACCTTCAGGCAAAAATATTTAACAAAGGGTACAGCTTAAACACTTGATCTTTTTTTCATGTTATTGTGTGTGCATCATAACCCCTTTCCCACAGGCTGTTGGAGGTTAGACTTTTAAGCTTCCCTGTCTTTGTGAAAGGTATGGAGGCAGAATGGTGGAGCAGTGGTTTCTCCCCCTGGGCCAGATGTAAAGGCATAACAGAAATGAAATGCATTTTTGTACATGGAGGAGGTGGCTTGATTAGACTGTGTTTTATGTGTGTGAATGTGAAGAATGCAATTTACATGACTTCCCCTTGGCTCCTGAAATGCCTTAATGCTGTGTCATTTTACACAGTTTGCTTTTTGGGTCACTGTACAAGTATTATTGAAGGCGCCAATCCACGACGCTTTGGTTCTGTTGCAGAGTTGCTTAATATAAAAGGCAGACTTACTTGAAGTTTTGTATGTAATTTCCAAATTACACACAAAACAAAATATGACTATTTGGCCATTATGTTCATATGTCTAAGCATTTGCTGAATGTATTCAATTACATGTCCATGGCTTTCAATCTATAACAAAGTGTTGGTTAATCATTTCAACGAAAACATTTGTAACATTTAAATATTCAAAGGCTTTCATGGTTTTAGGTACCTGTTCCTCCCGTCCTCTCTTTATATAAGAAATTTAAAACCTGGTTGGGAGCACTCTTCTTTTGTCTCCAGGGTAAGAAAGAGAACAGAAGACACACAATTACGTTCAAAGCATTTTGTACTCTTCAGAACAAGCTGTGCTCCACTTAACAAACTCCTGCATATTGCAGGTTTAAAACCTTAGAAGTCCAACCTCAATAATACTATGTGCTCCCAAAACAAACAGGTTCAAATTTTACAAAACACCAGCTGAAACCTTGTTGTCTGCTAAAGTTAAAGTGTGAATATTGCAGAAGCTTAACTTTCCATATCGGATCGATGCATGGTGACAGTGATTGAGTTTGCCCCGTCACTTACCAAAACCAAAGCTAAACATTACATAGATGTGACTTTCAACTGTAGGTCTGCAAATCGATTAAATATTGACCTAAACGAAAGCAGACCTGACTCAGTTTTTCTCATGTTGACTTCATTTTGTTTGTAATACACTGAAAACGTCTCTCTTCTTTCTCACAGAACAGTCTCATGCGGAGAGGTCAAACTCCATCACTGTGGCTGGAGCGGTGATGGGCGCGGTCCTCGCCCTCTTCCTCATCGCCATCTTTCTCATCGTGATCCTTACGGCTCGCAAGACTCCACCCAATGCCTTCTCTGACAAAGTGTAGGTCTGACAAATAATTCATGGTGCAGAACATGCTCAGCTGGTTAATTAATGACATGATACCTTGTGAGGTTGACTGAAGCCCATTTTGTTGAGCACGGAGGCTGCAGGACAATGTTGAGGGGTTGCGCATAATTGCTGTCTTGGCAGCAGGCCCCTTGTCCTATTTAGTTCAGTGTGTTTCTATATACACCAGCTCTTGTTTTAATGTTAGAAAAAAAGAGGTATGTCTGAGGTTAAATTATTCAAAGCAGGAGTGACTGACTTTAAACTCTTTGTCTCCGTTTGTGTGTATGCTCTTTGTTTTGTCTGTCTCTGCTGTGTATGTTCTGAATAACTGAGACTGAGGCTGAATTACAGGACTGGACAGAATCCTTTATGTGGTCTGGTGCACATGAATGGAACCTTGTGGGTTTCTTTTGATTACCTCTGTTTCTATTTAACATTTTTAAGTGTACACTGCAATACAAAGGTGTGCTTTTATAAGTCTGACTCTGCTGATTAACCTTGTACCCCTCTCATACAAATCATCATTGTGAACCTGTGGAGCATATCTGCAAGGTTGCAGGTTGATCTTCTCATCAATCCTTGTTAGGCTCACTGAGCATGCTCACTACAGGCAAACACAATTA